AGGCTTGCGGATGCACTGTCGCTTTTGCTGCAGAGAAGATTCACAAGATTCCCGCCCAGTACAAGCCTTCGCAATTCGACAAGAAAATCCTGCTGTGGACCGGGCGTTTCAAATCCATAGACGAGATCCCGTCCCTAGTACCGTAAGTGTGAAAGGGGCCCCGTGCCTGGGTTTCGCCTGCGGGGAGACTCAAAGCCGGGAGGGACACAGATTCCAACCAGTGTGCTTGCGGGCCAGGGGCAGCAGCGCTGCACAGTTGTTCGCACTAACACAGTCATAGGCAGTTTACAGCACTCCCTAAATGTGGGCAAATGCCAAGGCGCTTGCTTGACCAGACAACGGGAAGTTGGAATTATAGAGTGCTGAAGCTGAATGAGAACCCAGGAGTTTATCTGGCAGGCAGTTCCCGGCCTCGTAGACACGGGAGTTGTCTGAGCAGGCTTAGCAGTGGAGTACTAGGATGGCTAGCATGAACAGGACCGATACAGAATTGTGGAAAAGACATTTCTGAGCATGGCTGCGAGGAGTTACTAGATTCAGTTAACTTCGGTAGGAAGGAGACCCACCGGCAGTGGTGGAGGTGGGGTGGGGGAGTTTCCTGGAAGGAATAAAAAAACTCCAGCACAAGCATTCATCACTCTTGACTTCGCTTGAACACACATGGCCATCTCAGCTACAAACGACACGCCTCCCCCCCCCCCCCCCCCCCGTGATAGCCTATATCCTCAATCTATTCACACCATACCACAATGACAGACTGAACCAAACAAAGCAAATACATCCTAAATTTGCCCTTGTCAAGGTACTGTGTTACAGAATGAGAAAAGTAATTCAACTATTTATGCTAAACTAGAACCTGAGTAATGATGGCTGGGGTGACAGAGAGGGGCCAGTGTCAGGAGTTATTTCCTTTCTTCTCCATGCAAGGAAAGAGTCCTGGATAGGGCTTTTTGACTACTGGACAGTAGCCATCTGGTACCAGCTTTCTTGGCCTTGGGAAGTTAGTCTACTTCAGCATGGTTGGTCTCATCATAAGTGGTTTCAAGTGAATGGAAGAGGAAAACCGTGTGCTGGAAAAATGCACACCGCGTAATTCATTGTGGAGCAATGAAACATGCTCTTTGAGCAATAGTTAAATAAAAAAAAATGAAATCAACTTAAAAGACATTTTCTAATATTACAAACAAATTTTACTCTCCTTGACATTTATAGACTCCAAACTGCTGAAAACATGAGTTTCTTCTGTTTTTAATTGCTAAACTAATTCTGTATGCCAGATCACAGATGAGGTTTTAGGTTTCATCTGGAAAAAAAGGCTAGCAGAAAATACAATCTAATAATGTCTCCCTGGACACTAATTAAACCTGTTTGCAACTGGCATTTTAAGCTTAATTCTGCCTGAAGTATAATGAAAACAGGCTGTTGTGGTTTTTGTGTTGCTTGTGAAAGAGTTAAAGCTTTCCTTTTCAAAATAAATTTAACATGTCATTATGAATTTTTAAAATGTAACTGCATTACAACTAATCATGTGTAAGCTTTATATTAGATAAGAATGCCACTCAATATTTTCAAGACACAAGAACCTTATGCATATTGATAAATTGGCACTTAATTACCATTGCAAATTGGTAGTTTTGTTTCAATATAAAAGCACCGAAAGCTTGATTCCCGTTGTAACAGTTTTGTAAGTACTGTTACTAAAATCTAAGGTAATTGTACTACACTTACATGTAACTAGTCTCATGAGAGAATAAGATAGGGAGTGGCAAGAAGAAGCTGAAAGGATCTTGAAAGAAAGTGTGGAGAATGGATTTAAATATAAGCTGTTCCAAAGAGTTTCAATTCTTTTATACTAGCTAAGAAATAACCATAGTCCAACACATTGCTAGTAGTTTTATCTTGATCAATTAGAAACCAAATACATTACGCTGGTTTCATAGTGGCTACCAGTAGTTTAAGATTGGAATCTGAATAAATGTGTGCTAATTTAAAATTGCTAAGACAAATGGGCTAGCATTTGGTAATCTTTTAGGACTATGGTTTGCATTTGGGATAATATTTGGGCTATTCAAACAATAAGTCGCTATATATCAAGCTCGTCAGAAAGCTGGATTGCCTTAATATTAACAAATATTAAAGTATCAACAGATACTGAAAATAATTAACAAAATGCACATCTCGGTTTAGGCCTGAAATGATAGATGTTGCCAGAAACAAAGCTCGAGTGAAAACTTGTTACATAATGATCGGGCTCACAATCATCGCCTGCTTTGCTGTGATTGTGTCCGCCAAAAGGGTGAGTGCCTCCCTGAAAGAAATACCCAGCGGTGGTGGGCAGGGGTTGAGGTGCAGGGGCAGACCACTTGCCTGCCTTCTGGAGGCCCAGGGTTCAGTCTACCCCTACAGGGTTGGGCTGAGAAACAAGACTAGTTATACGAAATGTTACAGACCTGTTCTGAATTCAGAGACTCTGCTTTAAGAACAAATTCATCTTTGGATCCGGTTCCACCCACATACATATATCATAATAGACACAAATCTGTTCGTGAAATTTTGGATCCAAAATTAACTAACTGGTCAAGGAAGAGGAAAAAGGTTTTATTTTATTTCCTATTTGTAAAATAACAAAGGATAATTGAAAAATCTGCATAAGAACTCTGTGGTGTGAAAGTAAATCAGATTGGCTCATTCTCTGAATCTTTATTTAAGTAGCGGCTGCGCAGACTTAGGAGACAGATGGGCAGAAGTGACTGTTGGGGTTGAGTATGCCTCTGCCAGCTTCCACGCACACTTTCTGCTTAATATCTATAACGAGAAGTGGGGAGATGACCAGTTCATGTGTGCACTCTGCCTCTAACCCTCTGGATCATTTTGGGTTTTTTGTTTTGTTTTGTTTTTTGTTTTTTTGGTTTTTTGTTTCCACGAGCAGCTCCAGCAATCCTGACAGATCACCTAGGAGCCTGCACCTGGGTGACTGGACTAGTTAGAGCTGGCTGGGTAGTCTGATCTCAGTATCCTCCCTTCTGGGTGTATTTAGGCAGTTGTCATTCCACGTATGGTTCCTTCTTCTTTGGGGGTGGCAGGTATTCATCAGATTTCACCGCTTGAAATTTTTTTAAAGTTTCTTTTATGTATACAATGTGATCATATTCACTCCCTTTACCCTTTGGAATCTTTTCACTCTGAACCCCTTCTTATTCCCACCTAGTCAGTGGCTACACCATTAGAGATGACTCTACACCCTCAAGTCTATTCCTCAGGTTTTCAAATGTCCAAGTCCCCTAACTTTGGGCAAGGACCAGGTGTCATTAACTTAGTAATGTCATGCTAACTGATTGGGATTAACTTACCCTTAAAATGTTCTCAGAGGGGAGACTTCAGAACGGTGCTCACTGGGCTGAATAGTCGAAAGTGAACAAAGAAATCTAAACCATACCGTTGTTAGCCTATCTCAGAAAATTGCTTGCCAGACTGGCAATTCTCTGGAGATGTTATTTTTTGAGATCTGGCTTCTATGTGTAGTCCTGACTGTCCTGGAGCAAAGGCTTTTCCATATATCTAACAATGATGTGAGTTCTTCTAAATAGTCATGTTGTGTTTTGTTTTTAGGCTGTAGAACGGCATGAATCCTTAACAAGTTGGAACCTGGCAAAGAAAGCCAAGTGGCGCGAAGAGGCCGCGTTGGCTGCACAGGCTAAGGCTAAATGATGCTCTAAGTGTCAAAGCACTCTCTCAGATGCCATTACTATTAGCAATAATAAAAGGTTGATAAAACGTTTGCTATGGTTTTACTTTGGTAACAAAAACATTAAGATCATTTTAATGTTTTAGTAAGCATTTACTAACACCCATTAAAAAAATAGTGCACAAAAGTATAAGTAACTTGGTAGATTTTTACACAGCAAACAGAAGGTGAAAGGACTAGCCCACTCCAGTATGAGGCTCTGGCAGGCCTTGCCCTTCTCCCCCATTTTCTCTGCTTTGCTAAAAAACATTAGATTATATTCCTAAAGCTAGCCTTCAAGGTTTGTTCCCTAACTTGATCACTTCCTTCTCCTGAGACTGACTACCAAGGCTTGGCAATGAGAAGCCACCTTAGATTCACCTAACAAACATGCCCAATTAAAATTAAACACCTCATCTTAACATGGGTTTCCCTTTTTACCTTTATAAACCGACATTTGTCTCCTTTCTATCCAGAGGCGTCTTTTGTCCCTCTGAGAATAATGCCTCTTTCTCCTTCCCTTGTCCTCTCCCTTTCTCTTTAGTCTCCTGTCTCCTTTACCACCACACCCTAGCCCATTCTAACACAAACCTCCCCTCTTCCTCTTGAAAATTCAACTGCAAGGTCATTTACTGCTGTTTTTCTGCCTGAATCAGAAAGCAGCCACTTATCTTTTCTTTCCCACTTAATAAAGGATCTCTGTGAAAACAGGTGTTTGAGTGTGGGTTTTGCCTAATCCTGGGGTCCATGAGGAAGCCTCCGATGTTGGGGAGGAGGGGGTCTCCTTCAGAAGGAAATCCTGAGGTACTGAAGTCCTGAGTGAATGTATTGTTGACATAGACACAGTCATGACAGAGACCCAAGCCCTTGAACCCATGGGAAATTAGCAAAGCTCTTCCTCATATGGGCTGGGCTTGAAGTTGGGAAAACCTTCTTCCTCTGATCCAAGTGCCAGAGTTTACAGAGGACTTATCAGTGTGTACAAACACTAGCAACTGCAGCTTCCTCCTCCCGGATGTTTAGTTTGAGACAGTCTGCCAACAGACACCTCCAATGGAGACTAGCTAATCGGAACCCCCCCACCCCGTGCTGTACATAATAAACAGGATGCAGTGGTGGTAGAAATGCCATTCCATCAGTGTGAACCCTGCACCCAAACTCTAGCATTTCTGCAATGTGCCTGACCTTTTTTCATTCCCATGCTGCCACAGTTAGGTTTCCAGATCCAAACTCCACGGATTACAGCACTGGTATGCTCACAGCCCAAAATAAAATAATCAACAGAACTTCAGAACTCTGCTCTCTCAACATAGAACACCCCAAAGGTATTGTTCTAACACCATTGTTCTGAGTTTCATTGTTGGTTCATTTTACTTGTTTTTGATGGAATCATATAGCATGTAGTTGTTTTATGGGCTCTTATCCTTACATTATGATGTTCATGCACAAAGTGTGTAGCTACAGTCTGTCTTTTACTGCTCTTACCAATCAATATATGCACTATATTATGCATATAATCCAAGCACTGTGGTGACCCAGGTAGTATTCTCATGAGGTCAAAGCTAGCCTTGACTAAAGTGTGAGCCTTGTCTCTAAACAAAGACACAAAAACCCCAAATATTAATTTTCAACCTAAGGTCTCTAGTATTTGGTACCTAAATAGTCCTTTTAGTTATACTTTTTTTTTCTAGATGTCCATTAAGCAAAAGATTTGAAGTCTAAGAATTATTCCAGAATTTATTTCATTGATGAAGTATTAAAACAGTAATTATAAAGCTATTTTAAAAATATAAAAGGAGTCAGGCAGTGGGGGTACAGTCTCTAATCCCAGCATTTGGGAAGCAGAGGCAGATAGATCTCTATGAGTTCAATGCTAACATGGTCTACAGATCGAGTTCTAGGACAGCCAGGACCAGGACAGAAAAACCCTGCCTCAAACGAACAAACAAATGGAAAAAGTGTGTCAAGTCTTCAAACTTTTCCAAAATTAGGTATCTTGCTCTCACATGTTCTTTATTGCTAATTTACTTTTTAATCAGAGGGTTTTTTTTTTTTTAGCTTTACCAACTGCTTTTCTTAGAAAAAAATATAGAATGCCTTAATAAATATGTCTGAGAAGTCACATGAAAAAGTACAAAAAAACAAAAACAAAACCAAAAACACCACCAAACAATCCCCTCAACCCAAAAACCAAAAAGTGAAAGGCAGAAACTTAAATAAATGAAGCCAGACAAACCAATGTAACCAAATTACCTCAGAATAAATGAGATAAAAGAAAAATAAGATGCAAGAAAAAAGCATTAGAATGGTAAGTGAGGCAAAAGCCTACCTGCCAGTTTATTAAGAGAATATGGTGGTGCACTTCCCACTTCCTGCCAAGATAGAGGAGCAAAGACTCAGTGTGCATAAAGTGCTGGAGAAAATTGTAAACAGACAGTAAATCTTGTGGGCAGTCATTGGTAAAATGAAAGGGTCCCCTGACTGCTTCATTTCCCTTCCTAGAGAGCTGAAAGTTGGCCAGCAAGACAGGGAAGCCCTGAAATCTGAGTTAAAAGCTCACAACAGAGCATGGTAGGTAGGTAAAGGGGGGCAGATGGTTTCACAGATGCAGCAGTTTCCTTTTCTGTCTTCAGCTAAGTTGAACAGGTGTAATTACTACCCAAGGCCATCAAAATAACCACTTCAAAGGACAAGTAAGTGAAAACAATCCTTAGAACTCCCCTGGGCTGGGCCAGTCACTCTAATAATTCACAGGCTATGGAAATGCTCAGACCAGCACTACCACAGCAGCAAAGGCTGTCCTAAGAACTGCCTTACAAATGTTAAACCAGCTTGTAAAAAACAAAAATTAGAATTTTTTTTTTTTTTTTTTGGCCCACGTATAGCCCATCCTGGCTATTAGGAATCAGTGCTGCAATAACTCAGGGTGCAATTATCTCTTTGCTATAGTTATTTCACTGCTTTGAGTTATATAACAGAAGGGCTTGACTTCATTAGCCATCAGAGACACAGATCAAAACAAAATGAAATACTATCTCCTATATTAGAATAGCTATTAATAAATAGAAAACAAAATAACAAATGCTGGTTAGGATATGCAAAGGAGAGCATGTATACACTACCAATGGGAGTAAAATTAGTAAGGCCAGTCTGGAGAAAAGTGTGCAACTAAGTGTTTCTAAAAACAAAACAACAAAAAACTAGCATCTGGAGCTGGGTGTTGGTGGCGCACGCCTTTCATCTCAGCACTCGGGAGGCAGAGGCAGGCCAATCTCTGTGAGTTCAAGACCAGCATGGTCTCCAGAGCGAGTGCCAGGATAGGCTCCAAAGCTACACAGAGAAACCCTGTCTCAAAAAACAAAAACAAAAACAAAAACAAACTGGTGTTGAGGACTCCGATCCCCCTGGATTTGTGAGTCTTCCTTCTGTAAGTTGACTGGATCACGGTGCTTTATCCTGGCAGCAGAAAAGTGTCTAGTACAGCTACATACTGTGATTACTGACATAACCCATTTACATTTAGCATCCTGCTACTTTCTCTATTTTTTTGGGGGGGGATTCCCTTTCTTCTCTTTTTCTACCTAGTTTTGAATTAACTATTCTTTATGATTCTTGTTTTACATAATGGACAGACTATTAACTGATGATTGCATCTGTTTTTATTCCATTGAAAATACATAATCTTAGCAATAATAATGAAAATAAGCACACATACAAATGCAACTGCAAAACAGTATTTTATTGTGTTTAGTAGAGTATAACATTTCATAATATTGCATAATACTCAAATGTTTCTTTATGTAGTTGGGTGAGAATCCCCTCATCTCATCTCACTTTCCAATCACGAGACAATGGCCTTCTAGAGCCCTACTATATTGGCTCCTAACAGCATGTCACATTTCAGAAAATAGTAGTGCTATGTACTAAAATGAATAGGAGTTCATTTTATTTCACAGTATCACAATTAAGCAAACAGTAGATTGCTAAATTTAGAACACAAACAGAAATTCACAGACATTTTCGTGTTAACTTTTTCATAATACTCCTTTATAAGAAGAAAAACTACAAAAGCAGAGGTAATAAATTCTTCTTCAGTTCTTTCCCAGTGGGTCCATCTTTAACTGCAAACAGGTTTCGGGAACCAAATGAGAAGCTATTTCTGTGCCAGCAGATTTACTTTAAAACAAAAAGCAAAACAAAGTAAAACAAAAAATACCCTGTTTCGGTGCTACCACTAAGTGACAAATGACACTAAAAATTAAGAACATTAAAAATGAGGTTGGAGTAACCTTTCAAATTAAAGCATACAGAAAAAACAACTAAATAAACAAACAGTAAGGACCTAGGCCAGTGCATCAAGTATTTATAAAACAAGTAAGCATGATTGCATAGTTCAACCAGTAGAAATTCAAGCTCAAATAAATTTAATTAAATGGACCAATTTAATTAAATGGACTCTTTCAAGTATTTTTCTTGGTATCTGCATTAATGACATATTTTATTTTATTTGGCACAGTAACTATTCTGCATAAGTGCCATAAATCTTAGAAAAGCAACTTATTAAGTTGCATCACAAGGGACAATATTATGATGATGAAAACAAGTTAGAGGGAATTTTAAAATGGCATACTTAGAAAGCTATCTCTTACTCTTGGTTCAACAAAAAAGAACCAGACCTTGAAGTGAGACCAAGTGCTCTTCACAGTCAAATCTAATCAAATTACACAAGATAGAGATCCAAGAAATTAAATGTGTATTTAAATATTCAAAGTACGATCAAGTTCTGTGTTAGAAATATATCTGCTCCACTGACATATTCTAAAACCCCCTTTGATAGGTCATTTATTCTGTGTGTCTGCAAACAGTGTGTATGTATGTATGTATGTATGTATGTATGTATGTATGTTTATTCCCATGTATGTGTATGCATACACACACACACACACACACTTTCTTCTACAAGAACTACTTTTTGGAAGATTTGGCTGAGGATTTGTTATAGTGACTACTGGCTCCTCAAAGCAGGCACAGCTGGCTAGGTTTGAAGTATGCTGCATCTAAAAGTTCAACTAACTGATTACAAAGAATCAAATACCCTGTCATCTTAGAAACATTGGCACCATAAAACAGTGTTTATTTGATAAATTCACCCATCAACTTGGTAATCTTTATATCACTACCCTGTTTCTTTGAATGTACATAATATAACATTTTATACTTAACTCTGCAACTCCCATTATAATAAAAAGGGCACAGACACAATCCTCTACTTAATGGTATAAAAGGACTGGAAGATGCAGTCAGCACTCTAGAAACCATTTAAACTGAGATTTCATGGTTGTAGTGTTTAAGTGTCTTGCCAAAAGCTTAGATTCATGATATACAGTTTACAAAGTGTCCTACTATTTAAAAGTACTCCTTTATACACATTCCTTATGTCACATGCCTGATTTCCAGCAGAAACATTACAAACGCTGTCATAAATGAAATCTTCCTTTACAGAATAGACTATGAATCATATCAAAATTGTTTTAGTTCCCATCTTAAGAGTTGTAAATTAGGTTTTACATAAGTATTCTTACGTATATAACTGGGTATATCCAAAACCTGCATATAACTATAAATCAAAAGACAGTTCGACAATACCACATCTGCTTAGAAAATTCTGTCAAGCAGTTCTATGGGGATAACACACACACATATATAAATAAATACAAATTTCCTATCAAAACCTTTTAGACTTTCATATTTCAGGAGACTTTTTGTTGCTAACTCCTAAAATGCAAATTAGACTGACCAATCTGATACAAAAGTCAGCTACCACATAGTTCATAATAAGCAGCAATATGACCTGCTGTGTGTTACCAAAAGGGAATATTCTTAATATGGACTTCTACATATTAAATAATCTTTAGCAGTTTTCATTAGCATCGCTCATTTAGTCAAAACATTAAGTGCATTTAACACAGGTTAGTACATAAAAGGTGATTTCTTCAGAATACTTTTGTCATTCAATACTCAAGTTCACAACTATACAGAGAATAAAACATTTGAAGACCTTCTGAAAACTCAGAATAAATATAGTTTCAGATATGTAGCTACTTTAGATTCATGATCACCTCTCTGTCACAATCCTCTTTAAAATGAAGAGTGAAAATTAAGACTATTCCAAAACGGATAGCATATCTGGATAAAATATAAAATATACTACAATAATGGTATTTTATGTGAACAACACAAATATTTAAGTGTTTTATGGGTATATAATGTGATCAACATGAATAGCTTTTCTCTTCATAACTGCCACATTTTAACCATCAGTACAATATTTCTTCTGTTTTATAAATACATTTTGTAAGTTTTCTGCTGCAATTGTTTGAAGTATAACCTACAGCACAGTGATTTATAATCTAAAGTAATAAAGATTATCATATTCTAATTCAGCTCTCATATGACTTCATGCTTCTGAAGCTTTTTTGTTTTTATGTTTGCTTCAAGACAGAGGTAGATTTAATAAAGGCTGGGTATCACCAGACTTCCTGCCAAAATGCAATTATCAATATTCACAACACTGCTATTATGCAGTTTTCAAGAATACTTGAAAAGTTCAGAACCATTATATAACACAAAGCCCTCCTTTTCAAGCTTGAGTGAAATAATTGCATAATGTATATTCACAAATATATATAAAAATCCAAACAACAGAAGACAAATATAACTACATCAAAATGAACAACCAAAACAACAAACAGAAATCTATAAGGTAAGGGTGCATCTGAATGGAAACTTTTCTTTCATTTTTGCTTCTTAAAAGTGCATCAGATTTTTTTCTTTTCTGTATTATATAAAAACATTTCTACCAATACTGGTAATGTGGAAGAGATATTGAAGCTAGCCAGTTTAGTCCATCATTTTCTCCACCACCTGTTAGAGCTGAAACCCTTCCATTGGTGCCTCCTGCTGCTGAAATACAAACTGTTGCTGGTTTTCATCCACCTGAGGTGCAATGCTGGGATCATCATCTTCTACACCAAAATAGTGTTCAATTAGATCAAAAGCCTTTTGGTAAACTTCCTGATTTTCATGGCTTTGCAGAAACTCGATTTTATCCAAGCCTATCATAGAAAGAACACATGCAAGAAACAAATTATTATTAGGGCTTCAGTATATATGAAAATAACAAATCAATAGCATCCATTCACTCCACTAAGACTGGGAGATTTATTTTTTCTATTTCAATTTTTTTAATTTAAATTAGAAACAATCTTATTTTACATATCAATCCCAGTTCCCTCTCCCTCCCCTTTTCCCCTGCCCCCCACCAACTCCCCATCCCACCCCCCCTCCATCCACTCCCCAGGAAGGGTAAGGCCTTCCACAGTGGATCTTCAAAGTCTGTCACATCATTTGGGGCAGGGCCTAGACCTTCCCCTGTGTCTAGGCTGACTGAGTATCCCTCTGTGGGGAATAGGCTCCCAAAGTCCATTCATATACGAGGGATAAATACTGATCCACTACCAGAGGTCCCATAGACTGCCCACGCCTCCTAACTGACACCTACGTTCAGGGGACTCAGTTCAGTCCTATGCTGGTTTCCCAGATATCAGTCTGGGGTTCATGAGCTTCCCCTTGTTCAGGTCAGCGGTTTCTGTGGGTTTCCCCAGCCTGGTCTTGACCCCTTTGCTCATCACTCCTAAGATTGGTCAATTTTTTAAAATTGTTTGCACAAATAAATGAGTTCACACTCATGCCTTATTCTTTAAGAATGACAAATATAGGGGACTAGGGATATAGCTCAGTTGGTAAAAATATTTGACTACCACACAGGAAGCCCTAGACTCAAACACCCTTACTGTAAAAAACCAGGCAGGTGGTACTTGCCTGTAACCCTAGCACTGGGAAGGTATAGGTAATAAGATAAGGAGTTCAAGATCATTATCCTTGACTATACAAAGAGTTCCAGGATAGCTCAGGCTAATGAAATCTAGTCTTTCTAAATAATAAGCAAACAAACAGTGGGGGGGGGAAGTACAATATGAAGAAAGACACAAGTCAGGGAGGAAGATTACAAGCACCAACCAGCCTGCTGTGTGTTCCTAACTACGTCAAGAAGTTAAATTATCTGCACTTGAGTTATAAAAAAGTCTAGTTTTAGACTAATTCCACAGACCCCTTCCAGAACAACTATGCTACATAATGAAAACAGAAAGAGAAATAAAACAAATGAACAAATTGAAACCAGAGGGTTTTGGTATGAAATACATGCAAATGATATTTGAATCCATGGCACATCACAAGAAAATACCATAATCTGGCTATTACAGAATGCCCCAAAAGTACAACCTATAAATGAAGCTTGAGAAAAAACTTCATTCTGAAAGAATGAGAGAAATATGTAGCATACCATTTTATTGCTTTCAGGAAAAAAATTCTACACAGATCTGAGTAATGCTACACTATTTTTCATTCAAAGACAAATTACTTTGGGCCAAGCAGATGACTGAGCAGGTAAGGGTGCTGGCCACACACACCTGACAGACAGCATGAGTTAGAGCCCATAGCCATGGGAAGTAGAAGAGAACTGATCCCACAAAGCTATCCTCTGATACTCACATGTGCACTATGGAACTCATGTTCACAAACACCAACTAACAATAAAAACATTTTTTATAAGACACACCACTTGGATATTGTAGGTAAGGAAAAAGCAAAGCAGTCACCATCTCTGTAAACAACCACAGAACACCCCAAACACAATTAGGACAATGATTTTGCAAACTTCAAAGAAATAGGTGACAAAAAAAAGGAAAAAAAAATAGATGAGACTGAGTCATGTGTTAAATATTTTTAAAAAGTCCTCTAGAAAAACCTTATAATAAACCATAAAAAACAGGGTTACTAAGATGGCTCAATGGCTAAAGACACTGGCTATGTGAACCTGATGATCTGAGTTCAATCCATAAAACTGTCCTCTGACCTCCACAAACATGCCATGGCACATGAGCCCATGTACCCATCCCATACACAAAATAACAAGTTAGAAAAATAATCACTTTGAAAAAAGTTACATACAGAACTAAATAAAGTTCAATAGTCAATTGTGATTAGGAAATACACTAACACAAGGGAAATAGCACTTTCTTTTTTAATAACTTATCCTTCTTTATATGCAATGGAATTTGGCCAGCATGTATGTTCTATGTGAGAGAGTTAGATCCACTGGAACTTATTTAATATTTTTTTTTTTTTAAGTTTTTCTAGACAACATTTCTCTGTGTTGCCCTGGCTGTCCTGGAACTCTCTCTGTAGACCAGGCTGACCTCAAACTCACAGAGATCCGCCTGCCTCTGATCCACTGGAACTTGAGTCACAGAGTTGTGAGCTGCTCTGTGCATGCTGGGAATTGAACTCCAGTCCTCTGAAAGAGTAGTCAAAGCTCCTAACCACTGAGCCATCTCTTTAGCTCAGAAACAGCATATTCTATACAAAACAAACTAAGAAATTAACATAAAAACAGCTTAGTGACATCACTTTACACAAGTCAATAAGAGGAAATACCAAGTTATAGAGGTACTTTCATACCTAGCCAGTGACTCTGTCAACTAAAAGTCCTTAAGAATGGAAAGAAAACAATTTTGTGCCTATGATTCAGCATTTGCATTCCTGAAAATATATCAGCACATATGGATTTATCTGAATATGATGGTCTATGCTTCTACTCACAACTTCTAAGAAACTGAAGTGGAGGCCTATCTCAGCTACACCGTTGAGAGCTAGTATCAATAAAATAAAAATCCCAAATCAAGGCAAAAAAAAATGCTGCCAATAAACAGAAGAAACAAATTTACAAGCAGAAAGATAACTGTTGTGGCTTATATGAAGCATTGGAAACTAATGGTCAATTACCAGTATGTGGCCTTAATTGCTAAAACATTGCTTAAACTATACCCACTCTTCTATCCAATATAGTATACATCTGTCCAATCATGGAGAAATGTACAACATACACTACTTAAATCAATACAAAGTCTTTGTACAAAAGGAAAATATAAAAAGGAAGGTAGATAAGGAAAGTTAAATAGTAAAAAGAAAACGATGAAGACGAATTGCTACAATATAAGATATGGGTAATTATTTAAAAATATTTTTCAAATATACTGTTTTTATAATGAAAACAAAACTTATAGAATGGGGAAGGGTAGAGGTGCAGAAGGCAGGAGGCCACTTAGGGCAGATCATTAAGAATACCCATAATTGCAAACTTTCAACTGCTTGCTTACCATATGCTTCTTCAATGAGAGCACAGTATGGATTGACACCCACTCCATTCTGTTTAGATTCTTGTTCTCCAAGACGTAAAATATTTTCGAGTCCATTCAAAGCCACCTGAACTATTTTGGAGTCCATGACAGTCAAAAGGTCACAAAGTGGTTTAATGCAGCCTAAGGTTACCAAATACCTTCAGAGAAATTTTAACAAGAAATGGAAGAGGTAGGATTTAAACACTGTACATTATAATAACACAAAACCAGAATGAAATGTTATATAACCAATAATGAAAGTGTTTCTATACACACTTTTTGTTGTTCTTTTTTGAGACAAGATCTCACCATATAGCCCTTGCTGGCCTAGAACAAACTATATAGACTAGGCTGGCCTTGAACTCACAGATTTGACTGCCTCTGCCTCCTGAGTGCTGGGATTATAGGAGTATGTCGACATACCCGGTTTAAACTCAGAAAGTTTTTATTTACATTGCAATGTGTAAACCTTTTTCTCCTGTATCCAGTTTCACACAATTAGCAATAATGGAATTGCAAATACTACAAAATGCACACACAGACCAGCACTTAGATGATTTTGCAGAGGAGAGTTAGGATAGCAGGTTACACCTGTTCTTTTTTGAAGGTTAGACAGTGTGTTCTCTCTTTCCTTCCCTCCTTCCCTCTTGGTTTATTCCTTGGGAAGGTATAAATGGAGAAGGAAAGGGAACACCCAAATTAAATTTCAAAAGATTTCTTACAACAGCAATCATAGCCAATGCTCTGAAACATCCATTATATTTCAGAAATGCAAACGATCACAAAGAAGAAAACAGGCTACTTTGGTAAATGTTAACAAGTACTGTTCACAGAAATATCCCCTAATTTCCTAATGCACTATTACTACCTACTTTCCGCTTCTTCTTATAAAAATAAAGTGATTTTTCTTTTGTTTGACAAAGAATTCATACGAACCACAAAGTGTAAAAACAGGCTTTGAAACCAGATTGCATGCTTTTAAATCCCCATTCCATTTCTAATTAGTTATGTAACTTTGAGCAACTGCTCTCTACCTCAGTTTCCCAACAGGAAGTATTTTTCAAAAGTTTCAGCTCCTTTGGAAAAGGAGTGTGTGGGGGCAGGGGCACTTAGCACTTGCTGTGCAAGGGTTACCTGAGTTCATTCTTGGAACTCACAAAAAGAAAACTGACACTAAAGTGTCATTCTCTGGCTTCCACATCTGCACTGGGGCACATACCCACACATGAAAAAAAGAAGGTATGCACTCAACTTCCAAGTAACTGATCAAAAACATTTTTGAATGAATAATTATCTCATGGGTATAAAAATATAAAAATACCTGGTGTAACCAAAATGACTTAGCCACCTGAACAATAACTGGCAATAGTCAACACAACTGTTGAGGTATGCATGCTGAATCTAATCTGAGATTAAGACATTTTCTTCCTGTATATGTGATTACTTTCAGATTGACACAGATAAAAAGAACAGTAGTAATAAAAAAAGACATAACAAAGACTTCTACTACTGCTTATATTTATGACACAATATAAAGGAAATACTAATTAAAATAATAAGGGAGAACAGAAAAGCAGCAGACACAGGTGATATCTCTATACACAAATACAAAGGTGACAGTATCTATGAAGGTAATGAAAGACAATGGTCTATCGAGGTGCAGTGGCACATTATAGCTCCAGCACTTGGAAGCCTGGCCAGGGAAATAATGAGAATAAGTTACAAAAAGAAAAGGTGGATAATGAAAATACCTGTTAGCATAATAGAGTTACAGATGACTTATTTTAAAATATTTTCCCCCAAAGGGCATACTAGTACACACCTTTATTCCCAACAATCAGGAGGCAAAAGCCAATAAATGTCTCTGAGTTCAAGGCCAGCCTGGTCTATATAGTAAATTCCAGATAAGCCATAGCAACACAGTGAGATCATGTCTCAATACACACACACACACACACACACACACACACACACACACACACTTACACACATATACATGTATGTATACATATATTGTCAAATATTGTACTATTTTATAAGAAAGGTGTATGGCACTAAAAAAGGCAGACAATGGTATGAATTTGTCTCTAAAAATATAAGAAACAAACAAGATAATGATCTAACATTTGGTAGACTTAAAAATCCTTTGGTTCATTAAAATAGCATCATAATTTGACTAATTTTATACGTTTTTAAGAGTTATATATTCATTAGAAACTGTTTCTTAAATAGTGACTTCAAGTTTTGTGAAGGGCATAAGAATGAGATTATGTAGAGAAGTCAAGCTTATTTGAGGTACAATGTGTGTCTTTGCTGTAGACTGAAGATATACGATACAAAAAGACTGAAATCAATACTTGAAAATGACAATTCCAAAAGACACCAGTACTTTATTCTACTTGAGAACCTAATGCTCATTAAGCACTGTGCTGTGCATGTGAAGTGCATACATTTCACTTTTGATATGGTTACTCAATTCATTAGCAAGAAGAAACTGGACTAGAAAGGTTAAATGACTCTGTCAAAATTGATCCTGTCACAAGTTTTACTGAAGGAGCAGGACTTGACCAGGACTTGGCCAGGCTTACTTAAAATCATGTATCAACTATGAATGCGGTCAGTATTATACATAATAAAAGGCATAGATTAGAAAACCTAGTACAGAAGGAAAAAGACAAGTAGTGCACAGAAGTATTACCCTATCTGCTGGCAAGGCAACAGTCAATAAGGAGAGAGCACAATGAACAAATGCATACTTTTATTTTACTTTAAACAAGTTGATATTCATATCTGTTACTTCTATATAATAGCTAATTAATTTTAATGCTTAAAACATATCTAATGCTCATGACAGTATATTCTGCTAATCAACAAATTCTTCCTATTTGAAATTCTAATCTCTGTATATCAAACAGACATAAAAATGTTAGTTTCACCAATAAATAAAAATGTTTTTTTCATACTGTCTGACTGGTATTTAAAAGACAATGTTAAAGAATCGGAATCCACCTTATTTGCTCTGGAGTGCCTCCCGATGTGGCATTAGTTATAGCCCACGCTGCTTCTTTTCTGGTACGAAATTCTGCTTTCTGGAGAACCTCGATCAAAACAGGGAAAATACTTGCATCTATGACAGCCTAAGAAGAAAAAATGATCCAACACAATTAGTGCAAATACTGTTTCAGAACTGCCACATGGGCACTTCAAGAGTAAGGCTTTAAAGAGTGAGTGTGCTGGAGGATGGCTCGGCAGTTACAAGCACTTGTTGCTCTCTGCAGAGGACCTGGGTTGGGTTGGTAGCAACCACATTAGGTGCTCACAATGACCTGTACCTCCAGTTCCAGGGGATCAGATACCCTGGCTGCCACAAGACCTGTACACTTTGTGCTTTCCATAACTCACACAGGCACACAAGCATACACACAATTTTAAAAATCTTAAAATGTGAGAGGGTTTAGAAAGATTCTGTTTGTCATCTGTCAACACTTTAATTGATTTCTTTTGTAAAAAGAAATGAGCTTTTTTTTTTTAAAGATTGGAGAATGCATCAGTAAAAATACACATCAAAGGTGATTAACTGTAGGCATGTGATTAACCAAATGGGTAAGTATTCTTTGGCTCAAGAAACTTGACAGAACCTAATAAACACTGAAAGCCATCTGAAAGACAATTCCCAACATTTAAAACTGATGGAACCCTGCCCAGACAGGGTCTCCCCATGCAGTTCATTTGGGCCTCAAAAATCATCATCCTGACTCAGTCTAGTTTAAATCTTATGCTACACCTTTTTTAAAAATCTTTTTTCCCCTCAGACAAGGTGTCCCTGTATAGCCCATTTGGCCTCAAAATCACAATCTTCTGCTTCAGCCTTTTAAGTACCAGTATGAGCCACTGTGCTCAGCAGAAACCATCTATTTCTCAAGACTAATTTCATGTATCAGATACTTTTATATATGTAATTATTGTTCCTCACTAGAATACAAAACACAAATGGTATTATTTAGAGAAGAAAAGGCCATGTTGAACGCCAGGCATCTCAGCTTAGACCTTCCTATTGTAATCTCAACTCTGAAAGGCGATTACCTGGATCTGAGCTCTGTTTCCCGCAGTGATGTTAGAAATGGTCCAGCAGGCTTCCTTTCTAATTGACTCCTTTGGACTACCCAACAAGTGCAAGAGGCAGGGCAATGCAGAACAATTCAAAATGACCTAAATGGGTAAAACAGAAAAAAAGGGTTTTAGTATAAATGCAAACTTCTTATGAATTACTGAAGTACAGAAATCAATCTGAAAAACAAAGAAATAAATTCCTCTGGAGGTGAAATTTAGGCAACTGCTAACTTGTACACCCTGCTGCTAGAAAGCTTATGTAGTGCTAATGCAGTTCTCCACTAGAGTGTGAATCAGAGACATGTTCTTCAAATATACAAATTAAAGTAATACAACTATAGCACTATCAGCACAGATTATGTTTTGAATCAAGTAGGGGAGTCTTGAAACTCAAGACTTTGAAAAAGTTATGATTTCTGGTCATACCCATAGAAATATCTGCAAAATTCAACTTAGAAAATTACTTGAAGAATGACTTTGTGATGGAAGAGAGGGTTTAACCTCATTTTCATAACAAATTACTAAATGATATTCTTTCTCATACACATTTCTACAGCATTATAAAAATTTTGAAGTAAAGAATAAATCTGTACTGTTTTTAGAATGTGGTTTTTATAATGAAGTATTGCGTGGCACATGCCTTTAATCCCAGTATTTAAAAAGCAGAGACAAGTAGGTTTCTATGAGTTCAAAGCCAGTCAGAGCTCCTACTGAGATGCTGTCTCTGACAAAACCAACTGGCATAAGTATTGTCTACTTTGTCCTTTATTCACAATCATCCACAATTTTCGATTTAGTGAGGGTGAAAGGGATGCAGCATCAGTGCCTTGAAAATTTAGCTGGTAAGTGCAGTGTATTCCAATATAGAGAGCTACCCTTAAATGCTTACTCATTTAACAACTTTGGTGAGTATCAAAATAGAACACTAGTCAACATCTGGAGTCAATCTTAACATCTTACCATTCTCCCAAAACAGGCATGGGTGCACAGTTTATCACCAATTCTGGAACCATTTCCTTGCTATCTTCCCTTTGGTCTCATAATCTGATTCTTATGTCCTATAACCTACATATAATAAATCACAACTTCTAGCTAAGTTCTTAAATATACCTCAATTTATCTGCCTTTCTCCTTATAACGGTAAATCTTGTCTCATCTGCTGAAGTACTACTCTACTTATTTATAATTCCACTTATCTACAGAAATTACAGACCTCATCATACTCATCTTTTTTTTTTTTATAAACTTTTAAAGCACTTACTGGATGATCAGCTCGTAGCACATGCATTGCCTTGTTAGTCTGCCTTGTTTTGGGTCTCAAGCTCTACTGATTGAGTTAGCTGGGCACTTTGCTTTATTTCAATGACTTCTACCTAGCTAAGATTCTGAATCCAAACATTAGGCAGACAGAGAGCCCAGGTTGGAGGTCTCCATCAGGTCCCTCCCTATGGAGCTTGCCCTACTGAAAAAGGGTAGGAGGAATTATGGGAGCCAGAGAGACTGAGCACACCACGAGAACACAGTCCAAAAGGCATGGGGGTCAACTAAGCAGGGTTCATGGTAACCTACAGAGACTGAAGTAGCAATCACAGAGCCTGCATGAGTCTGTGCTAGGTCCTGTGCATTGGTTGCTGGCTTGGTGTTTTAAAGGGACACCTGACAGTGGGAGTGGGGGTGTTTCTGACTTTTTTGCCTGTTCCTCAAACCCTTTTCCTACTACTGGGTTGCCTAACCTAGCCTTGATGTGAGGGTTACCTGGCCTTATTGCACTTGTCATGCCATGTCCAGCTGATGTCCCTGGGGGAGTGGAGGGAGGGGAAGCTGCAGTCAGGGTGTATTGTACAAGAGAAGACCAAATTAAAAAGGTTCTGAAACCTCTGAGCAGAACACTTGGTATATTTTGGCTGATGGGGCTCTATGATAGTACCATCCCAATAAGGTAACTGAAGTTGAAAACTGTGCTTACTGCCACAGATGCCTGTATAGTTATAGTAATAAGGCCTTGATGAATATAAAATCAAGTGACATGAAACAATCATCTAACAGTGTGCTGTAAATTCTGAACTCACCTGTGTTTGAATATCGTCACCAGTCACAATATTACCAACTGCTCTTAATGCAGGTGATACAACTTTATAGTCATTGTGCCTAAAAATAAAAATATGAGCTTTTACATCAATAAGGTAAAATCTATATAAAGTTGAAAAAATTATAGACAACTTTCATTTTCTTCACTCAGAGCTCCTACTCAATTTTCACTTACTAATATTTGAAAAAGCAAAAAAATCTAAAGCAGTATCAAACACTATATAACCTCATTATATCTTATTGGGTGACATATTGTATATACTCTGTCTCATTATTGTGGTACTAAACTCTGTACTAATTAAGATTGATATGTTATTCTTCACTATTCCAATTTCTCCTTTATACTCAGTATTTGATGACTATTTGAGACCATGTAAAAATCCCATTCTTTAGCCTATTTACTTTATTTTAGAAATCATAATTACAACACTCCTCCCTTACCTTTTTTCCCTCCAAGTCCTCCCACATACCCCCTTCCTCTGTTCTTCAAATTCATGGTCTCTTTTTCCACAACATGGTCTCTTGTTACTGAATGTATATCTACACACATATATATTCCTAAATATAACTTTTCAGTCCACATAATGTTACTTACATGTATATTTTCAGGAATGAACCCATCCCGTACACTAGTGTTAGTATCTATATGCTCATTATCTGAATTAGTAATTATTTGTATTTTTAATAATCATTTTGCAAAACTATCATCTCCATCATACGCCTTGCCTATCTATTGATCCATCCACATATTTTAATGTGGACTCTTGGGTTGTTGCTATTCACTAATTTATAATAATACATTACTGTAATTTATTTCCAAGCTCATTATTTTCTGTGTTCATCTCATTTTTCCTCATTCTAATCCAATAATTTCTCTAAGAAAGCTACTTCCCTTAAATGAGCAGTGATATTTAGAAACCAAGGGTTGTGCCCTCAGAGCGCTCACCTTATTTCTAGAGAGGTGTCCCTCTTCCAAAAGCCTTAATGCACATGTATACAAGTGTACGTAAAAAGGTCCTTATTTTGAAAGCAGTGAGTTTATAGTGAGAGATTTAATTCTAATCTAACATCAAAGGCCTTTTCCCTTCACGACTAGAAGCCAGTTACTTTAGTTCACATCCTCCTACATATCGATAATTTAACAAGAGAGGCTACCAGGCCATGAGTTTTGGCTCTGAACCTTGTTCTGGCCTGCTTGGCTGCCCACTCTGGTAGAAGTCATTCTCAAGCTAAGGCCTTGACCATCCCACTGCATCTGTCTAGCTCACACTGGAAATCAGCCCTTTAACACAACTCTATTTTTTGTGCCATCTGCCACACTTGGACTAACTAAAGGCCTTTTGTTTTTATTTTGTTCTCAGAGTCAGGGTCTCACTATGTAGCTCTGGCTGGTCTGGAACTTGCTGTGCCTGAATCTCAGAGATCCACCTGCCCCTGCCTCAAGTGCTGGAACTAAAGGCATAAACTACCATGCCTGGTTTACTACCAATGGCTTTTTGACAAAACAAAAACAATTTTAAAGAAGGTTGGAGGATAAAGAAACTACAGCACCTTTTTAAACAAAATTTTCTTTTAATTTCTTTGCATGGAAAAACTGGGATTTTTCAACAATGGTAGTAATGATTATCCAGTAAGAGAAAGATCATGGAGACACTAAATAAATTTTCTAGCTTTATATACAAGTTAATTATTGTAAAGAATAATAAACTAGGCTATTGGTTCTGTAAAAACAATAACTGTTTTCTCTCCCTAATAACATTCACATGTCACCTTTGGTGCTAACAGACATTCTACATATGTTTGTTAAGTTAAGGCTTCTTCATAAAGAAAAGTTTCATTCATACAGAGATTAATTTACAAAATAATTCCCTTGTACTTCAGAAATGTTTATTGATGGACCAGTATTTAAGGATTATAGCTACTCTATAAAGGGCAGAGTTAGTAACTTTTCAATTCTTCCTATAGATGTTGACATTTTGAAATATTTAAGGACATGATCTTAACTGTTAAACTTAGTATACAATAACATAACTAAGTGAAAATTATAGTTACATCAATAGTTCCACCAATCTTCGACAGACTCCAGAATCAATGACTACTTGAATTTTATCATTAGGTCCATCAGAGAGATAAGAAAGGGCCCAGCACACATCTGCTAACACATCTGGATCACTGCTAAACAACAATCGTGATAAGACATTTAAGCAAGGTGAAACCTGTAAGAAAAAAATGAGTTAATAGTTAATTATTTTCTTTAATATCAAGCTTCCTTAGCAAAATGTAGAAATTTAGTTTAAAATCAAAATGTAATTAATAAAAATACCAGAGAATTCTTCTATCATTTCAATATTATGATGAGGTATATGGGTATCAAACTGATTATGATTGCTATTAACTGGTTAATGAATAAAACATTTTAAAGCAACAAAATATGTATTTTGATATTTAAGCTATTACATATCTAGACTAAAAAGGCTAGATGTTTTGCTTTTACAAATAAATTTAAATTAGTTTTTTATTCATTACATGTGCTCAACACAAATAATTTGAATGAACGTGCAGCAAAGACAGAGGAAATATAAAAACAAGCATTCTGAAAGGTTTTCCAAAAGAAGTCACTACTGACAGGATATATTTCTTTTCTTTTTCTTGTTTTATTTTAAGACACCGGGGCTTGACCTCAGGACCCTGCACATGCTAGCTAGCCATAAGAGAGTACCTATCCTGGTCTCAAACTTCAATCTCTTGCCTCAATGTAGGATTACAAGTATGTGTCACCATACCCAGCTCTACTTCTTCTGTAATAATGTTGTATATCTTCAACTAAAGTAAAGGCATGTTTAAATGCACACCTATAATCCCAGTTCTCAGATGACTGAGCAGAAGGATGAAGACTTTGAGGCCAGCCCCACTACATAATGAAATACCTTCTGAAACAAAGAAACAAAACCCAAAGAAAACACCAGCTACAAACATGACAAAAGAAATACCTTAACCCTTCTAGCACATGATTAATTTAATCCCTCATAGGACTTCGACTAATCAGTGTGGAAGTGAGGGAGGCACTTTACAGCTCCCAGCGACTGTTTTCAAGGCTGTGAAACAGATTAAATGAGATCAATTCTGTGATCTTTGCTATCTTCCTGCCATACACGGCCCTAGTTCAAACACTATTTGCTAAACTCTATGGCATGAAAAAATGACCTATTATCTGTGTATCCAAATTTTTTCACCCGTAAAAGAGATATAATAAAGATCTTTGGGATGTGTAGGAGTGCATGTAGTAGTTGAGAACAATGCCTGGATCAGAAACCAGTAATTTTATTTAAATATACCCAGTGAGTGACAAACTCCCTTCTACTATCCAATTCTCAGCACTCCAGGAGCTAGCTGTGGTACCTACATTATACCTTATCTTCTAGCAAAAGAACACAAGATTGGTATCCGGAAAACACAATACACTCAGAAAACACTCTAAAGGAAGTTCCTTAAAGATAATAAGGTTTTGCTGTAAATGTAAACAATGTGGAGTTTACATTTTAATGGGAGAAGATTTACTTTAAATTAATAAAAATAACATATTATGCCAAAAGAAAAAAGTGTAAGATAATGGGGTGAGCAAACCTCAGGGTGGTTATGACAGAGTCCAGTATCAATACATCAGTCAGCAGCAAGCTCACAGTCAGTACTTCATAAGCAAAGCTACGTGACCATCAGCCCAGATGCTGTAGAGATATGAGATGTCTCATTAGCCACACCCACTGCTCTTGCAGAGGATGGAGTTACCCAGTACCCACCAGGTGGCTCACAACTGCTAGTAACTTCTGACAAAACTCTTCTGGCCTCCACAGACAGACAGATGTGTCTTAAGAAAATCAGCCAAGTGCCACTGTAAGCAGTTCATGAAGTAGAACAGTGCACAGTAGGTCCACGGTACACTGGAAGAGGAGATTCCTGAAACATTTTCAGTGGGTGTGTGATCTCAAAACTATTTTTATAATAATAGTAAAATATTTTTCACTTCGTTGACATTTAATCTAATGGATAAAAAGTAAGTGGTGGGCAAAATTGCTGGAACCTGGGCACAATTCAGAACAGAAGTAGCAAAATGTACCACACATCATTATATTCTTCACCTCCAGCAAAAAGGACGATTTGGAAGATTCCATTTAAGAATCACCTTGAACTATCTGTTAAAAATACAAATCTCAATAAGCTCACCCCTTTCACTCACATCTTACCTGAATAACTTATCGGATGAAACAGGAAACATCTGCATAGCATTTTTACTCACACAAGTACTGGGGTGGACTGAACAAGCACTCATGACTGAACTGCATACTGGATTAGACACTTTCCCTACCAACCTCCATTTCCACCTGAATGATTTAATCCTTACTCATTCCTACATAGCTGGAGGGTATTTTAGAAACTATAAACAAAGTGAGCCTATCATTTCAAAAGCCACAGCTGACTGTATTCCTTGCCAATGATAATTTATAAATTTCAAAATTAGAATTTCAGAAATCTTGCATCTTCCCCTTTCAAGTCCAACAACTTCCTGGAACTGAAGTTAACATACATGCATATACATACACACACACACATACATTCATACATACATTCATACATACACACACACACACACACACACTCTCCAATAATAATTTAAGGGACCATATTTTCCAGATGGTCAAAGCACAATGTTATAAGATCTCGTGTGAGAAAAAGACTCTTCAAATTCAATGTAAGACTGATGGATTTTCATGTAATGGAGAAGAAAAAGTTCAATGTTGGCGTATAAACTCCTCAATGAGAGGAACTCTTAAGAAAGTACCACTCAGATGGGGTTAAGTGACACATGCCTTTACCCCAAACACCTGGGAAGAGCCAGGTGCAGCTCCTTAAGTCCCAGGGTAGCCTGGTTTAACATTTCCAGTCCCGAAAATGTTAAATAGTGAGACCTTGTCTCAATTAAGCATACCACTTCAAGTTTTGGAATAATATCAAAAAACTTCCATTCAACTATCCATAAAACCATCACATTCTTCAGCTAAAACAACACAGCACAGCAAATTAGTACAGAGAAAAAAAAAAGACTTGCACAGTAGTACACACCTACAACCCTAGCACTTTAGAGGCATAAGCAAGAAGATTACAAACAAGTTCAAGTCTAGCTTGAGCAATATAGTAAGATACTATTCAAAAAAGCACTGTATGGGCACATGGCTCACATCTTTATCCTCAGCACAGAGGAGGCAGAAACAGATGAATCTCTTTGAGATCCAAGACAGCCTGGTTCACATGGTCAGTGTCAGTCCAGTCTGAGCTACATACTGGACCCTGTCTCAAAACAACAACAAAAGGTGAGGATGTAGCTAGCACAAAAGGTTCTAAGTTCAACTACCAGACCCACACAGAACACATACCCTCAGGACTACTCTTCTTATAAAATTCTTCTTCTTTTGAAACATGCTTTTTGTAAAAAGTATTACTGAACATGTAATTGGTTCATTATTATTTTTATAAATTCATTAATAAATATTTAAATTTTATGTAGTTTAAAATTTTAATCTAGTATTACTACATGTAAGTCATATAAAAAATAATCTGGATTCTATGGTAGCTTGAATGACAATGACTTCCACAGGCTCATATGTATGAAGACAGTCCCAGTTGGTAACTGTTTTGGAAAGGATTAGGGGTGTGGCCTTGTTGGAGGAGGTGTTATTGGGAGCAGGCTTTGAAGTTTCAATACTCTTGTCATTCCCAGTGTGCTCTCTGCCTCCTGCTTGTGGATAAGGATGTGAGCTCTCAGCTTCTGCTCTAGTCAATGTGTTTGCAGTTTGTCTACTTTGCTCCGATTATCATGGGCTCTAACCCCACAAAACCGTAAGCCCAAGGAAACACTGTCTTTTATAAGTTGTCTTGGTCATAGTCACAGCAACAGTATAGTCACTAATACAGATCTTCATGTTTAAGAATGGAAGGAAGTCCTAAGGCCAAATATATTAAAAATTATTTATTACTTCTTTTAAAGAGAGAAGAGCTAAAGCGAAGCATGCTGTGTGAATCTGGGGTAGAGCAAATAGTCTAGTGAGGCCAGAGAGACTGAATAGGACATGAGTCAAGGAGATCACAGTGAGATGGTGTGTGACAATTATTACAGGGTATTTAACAAAATTATCTTGTTCTTCAAATAAAACACAGGGAGTCACTGGGAACAGAGGGGTGGTTTCAAAATTGTGGATTATTCTTGCAACTTTCTTGGTAACATAAAATGATAGCTGGTCAAAAAATAAAATAAATAATAAAAAGATAGTTTGCTAGAAGGCTATTGTAATAACCCAGGTGAATGTGCTGCATTCTATAGTATGAGAGAGGTGATAGATTTCCTTCCTCGATATATTACTCTGGAAAACTTCAAGCCAACAGAAGCTTTGCACAAATAGCACAATCAACACCAACGTTCTGCTTCCAGATTCACCAGTTAAATTTGTTTAGGTAAAAAAGCATTCTGATCCAAGATCTCATTAAAAATTAGACATTTTTTTTTAAAGATGCCTTAAAAATACAAGTTTATTATGGTTAATACAAACAATAAAATTATATAATTCAATATGGCTATTTCTTTTTGTTATGTCAGTTCATACTGTAAAAATGTATACAGTTGGATGGATAGCCAACATCTAACCAAATTATAAAATCCTTCAACCCTTCTGAAAATTTTCCTTCTGCCCTTTGGTGGCCAATTTTCTCACCTCAGACATTCCCCAATATGATTTTTATTCTTTTAGACCTCTTTTCTAAAACATTTAAAACACTTATATACTCCCTTAATTTAGCTTAATACTTTTGAGATTGAAGCATACCTAGGTAGTTTGTTCCTTCTTACTGCTGAGTTGTAGTTCACCAAATAAGCAAGCCATAATTAGTTTATCCATATACCAACTAAGGAACATGTACAATTTCTGGTTTTATTTTTGTTTTTTGTTTGTTTGTTTTTGTTTTTTGCAGTTATGAGCGAGGCTGCCCTAAATATTAGCATGCAGGCCTTTTTATGGTTATACTGTTAAATTTCTTTCATAAAGTACCAGCTAGTGAGAATGTTAGATGATTTATGACAAAAATCTATCTGTCATTTTCCATTTTCAATTACCTAACAGTGGATCTGGACAATTACCTTAGTTGTATGGGGGTTGGAGGAACAACTTTAATTTCCTATATAAATGAAAAGAACTAGACTACAAATACTTCTAAATCCTCTGTAAGACATACAGATATCTGGATATAGTTGAGTTTCTGGCCAGAGGAACTAGAGGCAAAGGAAGAGCAGAAATCTATAAAATGTATTTAATTTGCTGAATATATAAATAGTGTCTAGTTAATAGAGAAAATCACAAAAGAGTCTACTTAACCTTAAAAAAATCTTATGAACTTATTTGTGAAACAGATTTCTTAACTTGTATATTTCAATCATACCTTACTAAAATTTGGAGGAGGGTTTTTGCCTCTACATAAATTTGAGAGGGCCCATACAGCATTTCTGGTGGTGGTAAGTCTGTTTGAATTCGTTAATAACCTGCCAAGAAAAGAAAAAACTGTCATTTTATATTCACTTTTCCATTTCAACTATTTTCTTGTAGTAACTGAATTGTCTTCAACAGACTTTATAAAATATTTAAACTGATAAAACAGAAAAAGAGAACTTAAAATTCATTATAGTTTCATTAAGAATATTATGGTTCTATTTTTTTTCAAGTCTGAATCGAAGATTAAACACTTAAATCATGACAATAATGGGTGTCAGAAGAAATGTCCAAGATTACTTTTGTTAAAATAATGAAAATATTACACTATACAAAATCAGGAAACAGGGAATATAGTGAAGGTCAGTTAAAGGCAAAGGAAGTTCTTTGTTTTTATTTTAAAAGGTCTTACAATGTGTTTCAAAACTGGTTTGCAACGAATCTTGATAGATGCTAAAGAAACTGAGTGTCTGAAACAAGAGTGTCTCTTCTCTCAGCTCTCTATTCCCCATGCACATACATAATGCTTCTGTTAATTCTGGTGGTCTGAATGAGACTGCCACCCACAGGCTCATGTATTTGAATACTTAGGTTGCCCCCAACTTGTGGCTGTTTGAGAAGGATTAAGAGGTATGGCCCTGGCTGGAGGAGGTGTACCACTGGGGGTAGACTTGAGGTATCAACAGCCTCCCATCAGCCCCAGTTGACTCTCTGCTTCCTGCTTGTGGCCTGGGATGTGAGCTCCTAGGTGCTGCTCCAGCCACCATGTCTTCTCTCTGTCAGTACAAACTCTAACCTTCTAGAACTGCAAGACCAGCCCAATTAAAACTCTTTTGTAAGATACTTTGGCCATGGTGTTTTAGCACATCAATATAGATGTAGCTAATACAATTAATTATGTTTTCTTTAATTTGTTAATAATGTCTAAATAGGAGACTTCCAAAATAGTGAAATGACTTAGCAGGTAGGCACTTGCCACCAAGCCCAACAACTGGAGTTCCATCTGCAGGATCCACATGATGTGGGCAGAGAACTGACTCCAACAAGCTATCCTCTGAATCCTACAGACACACACTAAATGAATAACAGCAGATTCCCTAATGTAGTTTGTTTATTTTTTTTTTTAATTTTTAGGGAGGTATGGACCCTGGTGCCATCAAACTTGTTCTTTATATCTTAGAAAGAAAGCACATGCATCAAAATTAGACAGGTAATTTCAGGAGTTTATTGGGCTCCTACAGACCTTCACAAGTCTGCTAAAAATACTGAAAACTAGGTTAAAAAGAAAAAAAATCCCATTTTGTAATGACATCAGCAAAAATGGTGATGAAGGGGAATCCTGAGAAACTTCTCCCTCCCCAGAAGCACCCCAAACAAACAGCAAACAACAACACATGGCAAACACTGTACTTATCAGCTTTGTCAGAATTCTGGAAGACAGTCAAAAGTTTACATCAATGGAAGGACTAGAATCTATCACTAAACCTTGCTAGTGTTTTAATTTACCCTTGCCCAAACCCGTATCTCTAGCCTGGCACTGACTTTAAAAATATCTTTTTTTCCTGGAGGATCCAAGTTCCAGAAGGAACAGAGCAAGAGCATATACCTTCTTTCCAAGTGCTTATACATATGTTGCCAGCTTGGTGGGAACTCTGAAAACAGGAATACAAATGTATGTTTGTGTTTATTTTGCCTATCTGAGAACTCTCTAAGGTGGAAAAGTAGCAAAATAATGCTTAGTAAAAAGCAAAAACCTAGAGCAAAGAATAGGGCAAATGGGAGATATTGAAAACATGGAAGGAAAAAGTAAGTAGTGAAACCCTCTGGACCCAAGCCATTAGAAAAGCTTCTATGTATCAGACATCTTGATAACCACACATCTTCTGGTCAGAGCACACACTCAGGAAAACACCTGGGAAGACCCTAGCCATCTGCCTGACTTCCAGGCTTAGCAAAAAGTAAGAGTGAGTCACAGTGGTATCTGGTACAGCTAAGCACCACATGGCTGATAGCATAACAATTTTTAGAACATCTTTGAAGACTGGAGAGTTAGCTCAGCCGCTAAGAGCACTTATTGTTCTTACAAGGACACAAATCTGAGTCCCAGCATCTATATGGTAAGTCACAACCAGCTGTAACTCCAGTTCCAGGGGATCCAACTACTCTTTTTTTATCTCTGCAGACATGAAGTACACACATGGTACACAGCCATACATGCAGGCAAAAATGCATAAAATAAAATGAATAAAACTAATTTTCATAATTGCCCCTTCTTTTTATGCCTCCTAACATTTAAGACAATGTTAGATCATAAGCCCAATTAAGTTAAGGGCACAGAAACACCAGAGATGACAAATAACCAACAACACAAGCTTCCCAATGTTAACTTTAAAAAAAAAAATTAAACAAGCAACTATAATAAGGATCATTAGAACCCAATAGAGGATAATCTGAGTTCTATTATAATCAAAATATTCAGTTTTTAACAAGGAATTAAGAGGCATACAAAGTTAAAAAAAAAGGATCAGACATTAAATTCTACCATAAATGCTTTAACTTTATTATCTTAAATATGCTCAAAAAATACTAAACTGAAAATGAAAGGATTCTTAAGAATGAAAGGAAAATAATAAAAAAATAAAAAATTATCAATATGAAAATTATAAGACACTACCCACTAGGGGGTTTCTATAGCAGATCTGAATGGGCAGAAAGAATCCATGTATTATCTCAAGGCAGTCCAATTCATATGACAAGGGGTCTGAGGAATAAATGTAAGACAAAAATATAGAGAATATCCATGGGTCATAATCAACCCTACCAATATATGCATAATGGAAATATAAAATGAAGAGAAGAAACAGCAGAAGAATATTTGTATCAGCAAACCAAGAGCAAAAACTCTAAGAAAAATAAACTGAAAGAAATCCATATTAGGACACATAGTCAAATTCTCAAAGGCCTAATACCAGATGTGAAATACCCAATGTATAGAGACAAGGAGCCTGTCATGTGTACAAAGGCTCACTGGTGATTTTGTTAACAGTTGTTTTCTAATTAACTATTAAGAAGGAGGACAGAGGTAACGGGGGTGATATATTTATAGTACTGAAATTAAAAGAGTCACCCAACACATCAACACATCACTAATCAGCATTCCTTTGTCAAAGCTTCAGGAGAAAGCAGGGACTCCTTGTCAATTTGATGTCAAGGAAGGACATCAATGGTTGGTTTGTTTCACATGATTGGCTAAAGGAAATCTTTCAGGCTGAAATAAAAAGCCAATCAAGAATAGCTAAAACCACACAAATAAGGAACATTACTAAAGATCATGACATATGTAAATGAGCAAGAAGCTTTTCCCTATGTGACTTAAAGACAAACATAGCAATAGAACACAATGTATAATGATATGATTTGTGGCAATAACAACAATCAAAAGCAGAGCAGAGTTTTGGATAAGTTTTTAAACTAAATCAATGAAAGTTCCAGACAAATTGTTGTTAGTTTAGGATGATAATTATTTTACTTCAAATAATCAAAAGGAAAACAACGTTATGCAACTTGAAGCCAATCAAGCAAAAAACTCAGTCAGAATGGGCTCATAACAAGTGACTCCCTCTGGCTTCACTACTGAATACTAAGGAGAATTAAGAAAGAATTCAGTATTTCTCAAGCACTTTGAAGTCTATCTGGACAATGTCACCCTCAAAGCAAAGTCGAGGACATCACAACAAACCTACAGATTACAGTAGTGATCTAACTACTAACAATTCAGTGGCCTGCAAGCAACTGGTTCTTAATTAAGCTTAACTGTATGAAGTCATGCCAAGAAATCATTTCTGTGTTGTTGTTTATTAGAATAAAGGGCTGCAAACTAGTCTAGATGTTTCAATTTAGTCTATTTAATTCCTCCCCTGAAAAGGATGGAAAATGCCACAATGATAGTTCTTTCTTTCTTCTAATCATCTCTTTGATTAGCTTTTTTTCTTTTATACTTGTCACTGACATTTAACCTAAAGATCCTTTCAGTGAATGTTAATTATCCTGTATAAAGAATCTCTCTTTCAAACAATTTTCTTACATTATAGTGTAATGCATTTTTAAATGTCAAGGAGTAAATACCCTCAGCAGTTAAGAGAACTCACTGCTCTTCCAGAGTTCAGTTCCCAGCCCCATCTCAGGTGGCTCACAAGCACTGTAACTCCAGTGCTACAAACTCTGACACCCTCTTCTGTCGTCAGGCACCTGCACTCACATGAACGTACACCCAACAGACACATAAATACAGATACATCTTTTAAGTAAAGCAGCCAGAGAAGAAGTTACTACTTGCTCAGTAACTGTAAGTAAAAAGTAACTTTCAAGCACTAAAACAAAAATCTCTTATGGTCATTGTTCTGTGGACATTTCAAAATCAAATACAATATTCTGCAGAGATCATAAATATGCAATTTGTTTAAGTATTGAAGACTCCATTTTATGAGGCCCTGGAAAGACAGCACAGTGGCTAAGAGCATTTGCTGTTCTTGCAGAGGACCCGAGTTCAGATCCTAGTTCACAACTTCCTATATATAACTAGTTTCAGGCATCTGACACCCTCCTTTGGCCTCCATGGACAACTGCAGTCATGTATACACACCCCTATCCCCAAATACACACACAATATATACATAATATTTCTAATCTTAAAAAAGATGTTCATGCTATGGACCACTTAAATGTTATTATATTATCAAGTAGTATATGTCCTTTTTAGAATTATTTTCGCACTGAAGGCATCAAGTAAGTGATGACTACTAATAAGTACAGATTTAGAGACCATAGAAGACCCTGTGTGCGTGCATGCTTGTGTTTCAAGAAAGGGTTCTCTGTGTAGCACTGACTGTCCTGGAGCTTGTCTGTAGACCAGGCTGGCCTCAAATTCACAGTCATCTACCTGCCTCTGCCTCTCAAGTGCAGGGATTAAAGGCGTGCACCACCACTTCCTGGCATCATAAAGGTCATTTTATAAAGAGTACAAATTGATTTTTTTTTTTCTGATTTTACCTACTCTTTCAGTAACTTTAGGCGTGGGAAACCATAAGTAAAAACTGCAAAATAAAATATTGTTTGAAAATTTAACTGTTATATAGAAATGGAGGAGTATATACCTTTCTTTCCAAATGTAAAATTAACTTAATTATGACAAACTGAAACAAAATACTTACTCTAAAAGAGGTGGAAGTATCTCACAATTCAAAACAAAATCCCTGCATTCTGCATTGTCACCAGCAATGTTACCAAGTGCCCACACAGCCTGAGAAAAATAAAACAGACAATGGTTTTCAAGAACATGTGAAAAAACAAAGGCAAGGAAATGGGAAAGAAAAGGAAAATTTTAAATGAAATGTTGTAATAGTAGATCATAAGAAAAGGGCACTTAAAAAGTTTCCCTTACATTCTAGTGAACTCTCAATACTATTCAAAGAGCTGAAGGAGTCTATTTTGAATCTACCAAGAGAGACAAACTATATCTAGCAAAATTTTTAATTGCTTATAAATTTGCTCCCCTGCCAAGAAATCTTCTAGCTACAATGGTACTGATTGTTGAATGAGAGAGAAAAATACATAGACAAAGTATAAATAATAACTAAGATGAGAATTAGATTATCACTAATAATTTAAGATTAATCAGTTTAATATAATTTTAAAAGTAAATGGCAGTAAATTTTAATTATATAAAGAACTACACAAATGAAAATTACCATTTTATCATAGTCTCACTGAATGTTTTCAACTGGGAAGTCTTATTTTAGAATTTAAAACATGAATTATTATTTTTAACCTCTACTTGAAACCTAAGATTAAAATTAAAAAAAAAAAAGTTGAAAATAAGACGAGGAAAAAATACTTTAAAGACAATTTTTACTAACTGAAATAATGTTATCAAGAGGGGGGCAGATGTGGTGATGTGTGCCTTTTTTCCCAGACAGCACCTAGGAGGCAGAGGCTTGATGTCAGCCAAGGGTACATAGTAAGACCCTGTCAACCTGTCCTTAAAATAAAAGTATTCTCTCTCTCTGTTGATGAAGCAATATACACATTATCATTTTTATATTCTTTGACAGGGTAGTCCCTTTACCTTAATAAAATAACCAGGTAACCCAGAATCACATAAAAAACAATACACAATGATGTTCACAACTATATTATTAACACTAGTAAGCTAGAAATAGCAAATGTACAATTAAGGACTAGATAATGAATTATTAAAAAATATGAGTTTGTGTTAGATAACTGGTAACATATTTTTGGAGGAGTAACCTCATTAAGAAAACTTTCCAATGTTAGTGGTTATGTGGACACAAAATTTCATGAAACTAAATGATGAATGGAATAGGATATCAACAGATGAACTTATATAGCACAAACAAAGTACCCAAACCCTGGGTTTCTTTGGATGATCTATTTAATCATGTTATCAAATTTTTCCTTTTGGAAGAAAGCTTTGAAAATTTACTACTTAAATATATTAAAAATGATTCCATTTAGCGTAGTACAATTATTTTCAAAAGAAACAATAAAATGTTCCCTGTACATGCAGAGAATAAGTCAGAGCATCCCAGATGAAAGCCTTGCAGCCACCACGGTGCCCTCAGTGCACTCGTTTTATGTCTCACTAAGCTCTTTAATAAATAGAAACAGTGGATTCTATGCTGAGACCATTCTCATCAAAAACTCGGAATTATGGCTAAAGCAGTTCATTCTTACCCACTTCAAATCTAAGACTGAAGAAAAAAATTAATGTATTTTAAATAAATGTTAGGCCAATTAAAAATAAAGTTGAAGTAGAGGTCAAAATTACAAGCAGTATTTTCTAGAGAAAATTAAAATCTCTATATAGAGTGTGCTGCACAAGTGAGAAACTTACCTGTTCCTGCACATCTTCATGCTCTGAAGTGAGGAGTTTGATGAAAATTGGAACAGCTCCAGTTTCAATCACCACCTTGGTATGCAGAAAAGTTCCAGATGCTATATTAGTCAATGCCCAGGCAGCTTCAAACTAAGGAAAGAAAAGAGATGAATGAAAACATATAGGAAATGTCACAGAGGAGGAGGAAGAATAGAGGAAAAAAACGAAACTTGAAAGGAGGCTGACTTATGATTATGAAAAAACATTGAGAAATTAGGTTTACAGATGGAAACCTTATTTAAGAAAACAAAAGATTCTTCAGATTTTACAAACGAATACCAAGAAGGAGCATATTTTACAATGCCAAAAATACATAATACAAGTTAATTTAACTCCTAATGTTTATAAATTCAAAAAGGTATTCTAAAGCAAACTGCTCAAAAATAAATGAGATATACTTACAGAGTGGAATAATCATAAATGCTATTTGCTTCCTGGGGGATCATGTCACCCCAACCTCATTTAAGAACTTGAAAATTAGAATGCCAAGCACTTAGGTATTTATTCAAAATGAAGGTTTTATTATTAACAGAGGTGGGACTAAAGTTTGCTAATTTTTCATACAACAGAACCTCTCAAGAAAAAAAAAACAAAAAACAAACCCAAGGATATAATTTGTATTTAACATCAATGTAACATCAGTTGTAAATAAGGAAACAAATGGAAATAGAAAGCAACTACAAGTTTACAAATTTCTCCTTGATGCCCCCTAAGACAATGCATTATTGATGACTGGAACGCATTAGTAAAGTCACAAACCTACTGAAGAACTGGGGGAAAAATGGAATGCACAGCTATGATTTTAAAAGCAGGAGAAGCTGGAGTGATGGCTCAGTGGTGAAAAGCATGTATGCTTTTACAGGGAATCCATGTTTGATTCCCAGCACCAAAATATGGGGGCTTAAATTGCCTTTAACTCCAGATGTAATGCCTCTGACCTCTGAGACACTGGCACTCTTGTGCAACATATCCATGTGCATAAACAACTGTATTGTGTGGCAGTAACGGCAATTGTTTTGATTTGTTACAAATGTAAAATAGCTGTATATTCATTTGAAGTTCCCCAGCTTTTAAAAGCCTCATATATCTTCTTCACATGTTTTAAAATGTGTGCATGCCTAACAAAATGGTCTGCAGAACAACATGTCCCACAGTAACCTAGTCTGAACTTGACTAATGGTCTGGACTAGCAGATTAATACCCACTTTGCTAACACTATGGAGCTATTCCCAAATTGCAGTGGCAAATTTCATTAGATTGAATAAAGATTTGAGTTCCCCATGTTCTTGCACACATGCCACACTGTTTACACCTGCTAAGCTCTCGTGAAATATTGCTTACTTCATCCCCAGTCAAACCGCTACATCCTCTGTGTTCCCAGAGCATTTCTTTCATAGCTCTGCTACAGTGCTAAGCACACTGTTTTACTTATTTCTTGGTATGTTTACCTTCTGCAAGGTAGCTGAACTTCTGTAAGCAGGAACAGTGTCTTAAGTTTGGACCTATAAAATCTTATATGTCTGGCTCTCAAGTTAGCACTCATTTTTTATTTATTTATGTCCATTCATTGCTTCTTTCCTTCACTGGGAGAGGCAAATAATAACAGATATCAGAGACCTGAATTTTAGTTTGTACTCACAGCTTCAATAAAGCAGAGACTAAAACCTATTACTTCAAATTCAAAATAACTGACCTGAATAAAGTAGCCTTTTCCTCAGAGACTCTGATTGGAAATTCTAGACAATTTTCTTTCACATTTACATGTATTACACATTCTTTTGCTTATGCCTAAAATGGGGGCCTTTCCCAAACTGCTCAGACAAGTAAGTGGACCACTACCCCCAACTGCAATTTCAACAACTGTGTCTCAGAAGTCCTTCACTATTTACAACAGCACTGATTTTAGATATAAGTTTTTTCCAATTCCTAAAATGTAAGTCTGACTCTAGAGTATACACTGACATCAAAGTAAGAGAGTATAATCTCTTTTTATAACATTAAAATGTTTGCAAACGCCACTAAATTATCATCAGTAGCAAACGATTTGGGAGATTTTAACAATATCAAAGTTCAGAGATAATTTTCTCTAGGAAAAAAATGTAACTTCGGCCATTTTTTTAAGATTATACCAAATTATTCTTAAAAAAAAAAAAAAGATAAGCTAAAAACATTTTAAGCAGTTGAGAACCAACAGAGTTGGATATGGTGGCTCATGCCTTTAACTCTACCACATTACCAGGGGCAGGCAGACCTTGGAGAATTTAAGGCTAGGGCTACATAGAAAGGAAGGAAGGAAGGAAGGAAGGAAGGAAGGAAGGAAGGAAGGAAGGAAGGAAGGAAGGAAGGGGAAAGTTTAATAATGAGATTAACACTTTAGTGTGAGTTTTCTAAAGAAAATAGTTAAAAAGGTTGACACCTATAGAATTTCATTAGTATTAACTGTGATTTTATGCTTCCCAAAGCATAAAATGTTCAATAAATAATTCCTAACAGAAACTAGCACTGTAGCCATGCCTTAGCCAAGAGTGATACCTGTTTTTTCTTTAATTGTCAAGTGCTTAATGAATGCTTAGTTAGCATGGGAGCCACTTCTGCCAGAAACTCAGTCATTTCTAGAAGGAGATTAAGAAGGAAAAGTTCAGACTCACTTGTAAAGTACAATTTTCATTTCTTTCAAGAAATTTCACGAATCTCTGTACAACTCCTGGTTTCTGTATAACTTGATCTATTGGTGGATTGGGCTCTAAGATGAAAAAAAGAAGGGTTGTTACATAAACACAGAATAACAAGGAACTGATCCCCGTTTCATGCCTCACGGTATCTTAGCTCCTTTTCCTTGTGCTGTGATAAAATATCCTGACAAAAGAACCTTAGAGAAGTCAGTTACAGTCCATCATAGCAGAGAAGTCACAGTAGCAGCAACTTGAAGCACCTGGTTCAAGAGAGAGCAACAAGCCTCCTCTGCTCAGTTCTCCTCTCCATTTGAACAGTCTACTGCTGCACAAGGGAATGGTGCTGAGGGCAGTGGGCAGGTCTCTCCATCTCAGTTAAGGTAATCAGGATAATCCCTCACAGGCATGCTCAGAGGCCGGTCTCCTAGGTGATCCTAGACTTTAACAAATTAGCAAGTAATGTAACTATCACAGGTGGCATAGGAAATAGTTTCCCTAGGTTTCACTGAGCTAAGTTTACACTCTTAGCTGGATGTAACTGCAGATGAATGTTCTCATTACTGGAGTACTTTCCACAAAACAAACTTTTTCATTAATGGTAATGACAGGAAATTAAAATATATTTCCTAATACAAAATATATTTAAGAGATCATCCTTACAAAATGGAAGAATTTGGGTCCAATACGCACAATACCAACTGAGAAAGTCCCCACTAAATCCTTACAGCACTAGCCTCGATTTCCAAGTATTTTCCTGCTGTGGGATAATTCTCTGTACACTGTGAATATGTATTATTCTCACTGGTTAATAATAAAGCTGATTTGGGCTATAGCAAGGCAGAATAAGGATAGGCGGGAAAGCCAAACTGAAAATACAGAGAGGAAGAAGGGTGGAGTCAGGAGATTTGAGCCAGCAGCCAGAGGAACAAGATGTACTACAGGATGGATAAAGCTATAAACCACCCGGCAAAATGTAGATTAACAGAAATGGGCTAATTTAAGTTGTAAGAGCTAGTTAGTAATAATCGTGAGCTCTAGGATTATTTTAATTATTTTGTAATTACTATCAGCATTTTTGTGACTATTTTTGGCCTGGCAAATGGGACAGAAAAGCTCTGCATCCATTTCCTTATCTGTCACTAACACTATCATTCATCTACCTGTCTCAGTCACTCAAGATTTTATTTTCTCACAACATTACTTATTATTTATAGAAATGCCATTAGATTATCTAAAAATCTTAAAAACTTTTCATGAAATGCAGACTTTTGAAAATTATAAATCCTCTTGCAATACATAAAATTCAAACAAATGTATTTCAAAAACAGAGCCTTCGGTAGCTTCTGGGTTGGTGTTCCTGTAAGTCTTCTTTCTGTCCTCATCCTAGGAATTTACCTATTACCTATTTTACCTAAATTCACTATTACCACTTATAATACTTCATAAACTTCCTTAACTGAAATCTTTTCACCTATGTTCCACCCCCATACTTTTGTGTGTCTATGAGATGCAGTTGTTTTTATAACTTTTTTTTAAATGAAGCATAGCCAAGCCACATAGACTGTCATGCTTAATTAGCTCACTCTCCCTCTGACTTTTGCACAGCTGACAAAATTACAACCTTTACATTTTTCAAGTGTTATGATAGTCCACACTTTTCAAAACATTCATCCTTCCCCCGTCAAACAAAACATCTACCTTTCAAATTATCAGAGTTTTAGGAATAGAGTTACCAGCTTCAACTTTTTTTTTTCTTTTTCTAGCAGAAAACTCTGAACTTTCCTGTTTTTTAAATTTAAAGGACAGAAATTCTGTGGGTTGTTTTAAGGACAGAAGTGATGAGATGGGAGATGGAAACATAGGATGTGTGGTTAGAAGGCAGTGAGAAATGGACACTGCACCGTCAGCCACATCAGTATCTACAGGTAAACACAGACACAGACCTGTCAGTTACATGAGAACACAAATGCAGTCTTCTCTGGCAAAGTTCAAAGCAACACTTTTTGTCATTCCATCTAAAAGAAGTTAAATAAGTGCACTAGAATTATCAGCTAATTTAACACATACCATGAGCTGTCATTAATATCACAGAACAATGGGCTGGAGAGATGGCTCAGAGGTTAAGAACACTGACTGTTCTTCCAGAGGTCCTGAGTTCAATTCCCAGCAACCACATGGTGGCTCACAACCATCCCTTATGAGATCTGGTGCCCTCTACTTGTGTGCAGATATACATGGAAGCAGAATAGAATGTTGTATACATAATAAATAAATTTAAAAAATCACAGAACAAAATAATAGTCTACATATGTTTACAAAGGTGATGAACTATCAGAAATAAGATTCATAGACACTTTGGCAATTTAAGCATGATCAAAAAAGAAAACTATATGCTTCAGCAGTGAAAATGAAGAGTAATTCAGAACAGAAAAACTTCAGGGAAATTTCTGTGAAACTGGAATTGAAGAAGTGTAACTGTGACTTACATTTACAAGAATGGCCATGATGGGGAAACAGATAAGGGGATTTTAGCAAAAGGTTATTATCTGACTTGAATCCATGCTAGATTTAATGCTAGGCTAGGCAGCAGCCAGTGGCATACATAAGTCTGCCTAGTGGCAAGTTAGAATACTACTTAGTGATGAAGAAATACATGTTTCCTGCTGTTTTTGCTTACAGTTCTACTTAGAACTACTTTCCATGTTTTCTACACTGACAGATTAAGTAAAAATATAGTAAGTCAATATTCTTCAAGCCCAAATACATTTGGCAGGAATTCATGTCAATCATTAAAAAAAGAAAAAACAAAAAAATTTATAACCCGTTTTATGCCTAACCTAGGCTAACAAATCCAACTATTAAGAAGAAACAATGAAAAATGATTGTTTGACATAATAAAGTTTAATAGAAACAAGACAGTTTGAATAATTACAGAAAATAGTCTTACAGTCTTACCAAACAACAACAACAAAATTTTTAAAAAGCCAGGCAGTGTTGGCCCACGCCTTTAATCCCAGCACTTGGGAGGCAGAGGCAGGCAGAACTCTGTGAGTTCAAGATCAGCCTGGTCTACAAGAGATAGTTCCAGAACAGCCTCTAAAGCTACACAGGGAAACCCTCTCTTGAAAAACCAGAAACAAACAAACAAAAAAGTCTCAATTCAGATAATGATGCCACAGATAATATATATATTAAATGTCTTCTAATTACATTCTTAAAGAATCAAAATAAATTCAATGATAACAAACATGTCAAAAAATAATTGAGAGCAACTTTAAAATTCAAAATTCTCAAATATTCTACATAACTACAGAAATCCTATCAATTAGATAGGATACTATGTATGTGTCAAAAACAAATCTTGAAAAGGAATAAAATGAAAAAACTTGAATGAAGCAAAATAAACATCAACTGCAAAACCATACTACAATGCAGGGATAAAAAGAAGTCATTCTTAGACAAGCAGTGGTGGCGCACACCTTTAATCCAGCACTCAGAGGCAGAGGCAGGTAGACATCTGTGAGTTCGAGACCAGCCTGGTCTACAAAGCTACACAGAGAAACCCTGTCTTGAAAAATGAAAAAAAAAAAAAGTCATTCTTGACTGATTATTTCTGAAAATTGCTAGAAGATGAAGAATGATATACAAAAGTTAAATGTATTTATAAAAAGTAAATTCTATTTGGTAATTTTTCTTTTATTAAATGTTTTTACACTTATCTTATGTGGTGTGTATATATATGTTCACAAATGACTGCATTCTACTGCTCAAGTGTGGAGAACAGAGGGCAACTTTCAGGAGAAGAGTCAGTTTTCTCCTTCAAGCATACAGGTTCTAGGGATCAAGCTCAGGTCACAGTTTGGTGGCAAACACCTTTACCCTCTGAGTGCTCCTGTGGGCCCCTACTTTATAACTGCTTATAATACACTTACTCTTAGTACATATGAGAGCAAAGACAAAAAGCATTAGTGTAAGGATAACTCTTTCTGCCAAGAGGCCCAAGCCCCAGTCACATAGGCACCCAAAGTAACACACAGAGAACTATATTAGGTATAATGCTGCTGGCCAATGACTAGGGTTTCTTAGTTGCTAGCTCAGTCTTAATTATCAACCATAACTACTAACCTACATATTTTATAAGAACTTATCGGACACCAGAGGCAGGCATCTTCTCTTGCTGGGATCACATGGTGGCTCCACAAAGAAGAGAGGAGGAGGAAGAGATCGATTTCCCGCTTGTCCCTGTTTATATTGTGTCTGCCTGCTATGTCACTTCCTGCCTGGATCACAAGACTTCTCTTTACTACATTTCCCAGAATCCTCTTCAATGCCTAGTCCCACCTATCTTGCTTCCCTATTGGCCAACAGTGCTTGATGGGGAATGTACTTCTTTGTATGTTTATGTTATTGATTATTGAATAAAATACTGTTTGGCCAATGAGACAGCAAGTTAGACAGGATTAGGGGTCAAAGAGGATTCTGGGAAATGTAGTAAAGAGAAGTCTTGTGATCCAGGCAGGAAGTGACAAGCAAGGAGACTCATATTTAATCAAAGGAAACAGGAAGTGTCCCTTTTTCCCCTTCCTCCTCCAGCGGCACCATGTGAGCCACCGGCAAGAGAGGGTGCCAGCAAAAGGCATCCTCTATAAGATAAGTCTTATAAAATATATAGATTTATGATAATTACAGATGAGAAATCCTAGTCATTGGCCAACCAGCTTTGAACCTAATACAAGTCTCTCTGTATATTAATTTGGGCCCTAACTCCGGCGGGTGGCTGGCGTAGAGAGCACACGTGGCGGTGGGGCTTAGCAGCTTTTAGCGGAAAGATTTATCGTAACAAGTGCTTTATTAAACAACCAATAAGATAAACGTACACAGAAGCACTTCCCTCATCACCTTAGAATCCATGCTGATGAAACCACAGGTTTCATTACCTCCTAACCTAGTAAATGTCATCTTTCTTAGGAAATTAAAGCAAGTGATCCAGGGTCATCTGCTAAATCTTAACAGTTTTAAAATTCCTTACAATTCAAATTACCAATTCTATAAATTACACATATGAAACAATACTAATATTAACTGGATAAATAAACTGGCCAGATGAACTACAAATGGTCAGTACATAATGAAAGAACTGGGTATATCTGAACTCCCAACACCTGGGAAAGTGAGGCAGGAAGATGGAGCATTTGGGCCCAATCTTAGCTACACGGTAAACCTAGCCTCCTCCAAGTCAAAACTGAATAAACAAAAAGTTTCTAAACAAAAATTTCTATAAAGGATTATAGCCTTATTTATTGGCAACAAAATTATTTTTATATTTGCTTCTTTTATATTTGTTTCTATATTTGATTCTTCTGCAATGTTTTTATTTTTATAATATAATTTTTAAAAGATGATATTTCAAAATACTTTTTTTTTTTTTGACAGGATCTCTATGCAGCCCTGGCTTGGAACTCAATGTGTAGACCAGGCTGGATTTGGATTCCAACTCACAGAGATCTGCCTGCCTCTGTCTCCCAAATGCTGGGATTAAAGGTAAATACAACCAAGCTGGGTGCTGAGGCAGGTGAGCCTACCTGTATGAGTTGCTGCCCAGCTTGACTCACCCAGTGAGCTCTAAGCTATCTGATGGTAGACAGAGAGACTCTCTCTCAAAGACAAAAAGCAAAATGAAACAAAAGAGCATATACCACACCAGGTCAAACTATATTTTAAAGAGAAATTAAGACCTGTCTCTGTCAAAAAAGGGGGGTGGGGAAATGTCTCAAAATTTTAAAACAGATAAATCTCTCCCATAAAATTGTGATACCAAATAGACACTGGAACTAAGTCTTGCCTTTAGACAGCAGCTTTCTGAATTTCTGTGTTGCTGCTAGCTGCTGTTCAGCATTGCTAGAGAACACCATCTGAATCATATCTGCAGTGATCACATCTTCCTAAAACACAAAAATAAAATTAACACACAAACATTTCACGTGAATATTATTCATATTACATGCTGTAAATACTGTCTCTGAAATGTCATGAGGCATAATACAAACCAAAACACATTTTGCACAGTATACCTCTGGAATGGGTACAGTGGAACTGATATCTGGGTCCTGGATGGGACTCTCCAGCATACAGTCATCATTTCTGGGCAAAGAGACATTTCTGCGTTTGAACAACTGCAACAAAGAGAAATTATTTTATTTTCCAAAACATTCAACTGTCATAGGATTCATATGAGCAAACAAACTGGTTTTTATAATTCAAAATATTAAACAGACATTTATATTTTATAGGACCTGAAAAAGCATATATTTCTTTATTCAATTACTAACTGTTGAAGAATTTTTCTAAGAAAATCTTTACTATGGGGTGGAGAGATGGTGCAGTGGTTAAAAGTGCATACAGCTCTTTCAGAAGGCCAGAGTTAGAGTCTCAGCACCACAGTTGGATCCCCAGTGCCCAGCTTGGATAAATTGTATCCATCTATACCTCCAGCTCTGGGGCATCTGAAACTTCTGACTGCTCTGGGCAACTGCACTCATGCACACATGTCCTCACACAGACATACACATATACACATAATAAATTTAAAAAATCTTAAAAAAGAAAATACTGATTTGAAAAGTGAATCACACAGTACAACTAGCACGCTACACAGTTAATATAGCCAGTTAACAAGCACTAGAAGCTGGGTGTGCTGGTGCATGCTTAGAATCCTAGTACCTTAGGTAGAGGCAGGAGGATCTACACTCAAGGCCATCCTCAGCTATAAGAAAATCTGAGATCAGCTTGGGCTACATGAGACACTGTCTAAGCAAAATTAAAAAAAAAAAAAAAAGCAATAGGAGAAAATTCCCAGGAAAAATAGCCCTATACTTGTTAATTCCATTATTAATAAGAATAAGAAGATGAAACAACCAAAAAAGCACTTTATGCTTTGATGACTAAATTAATACAGCTCTCCTTCATTCTATACACACTTTTTTTAGTCCACAGGTTTTTTGTTTGTTTGTCTGTCTGTTTTTTTGATATAAGTCCCGCAAGCTACTGCAGACAGGAGCTGAAAAACCGTAATTATATTTCTAAGCAGGCTTTCTTAGACTTTTTTGAATAATCCCTTTCATACATCATTTTTAGTTTGCTATTGTATGGACTACTTACTTATTTATTATTATTTGTTATTGTAAGGACTACTTATTTATAAATATTTCCAAATCTACATTGGAATAAAAAGTGCTGAGAAGTACTCTCTTATATGACTTTATATTCTTTTTTTTTGACTTTATATTCTTTATGTTGCATATGCAAAGTATAAATAGAGGCTATGAAATATAGAAATATATTAGGAAATATAGAAAGCATAAAATGAAAACATAGAAAGATGACTCACTCTAATTACCTTCCAACTTACAAAATACACAAATATAATATGTTTTCTAGGGACAAATTCTATGCTGAAAACTGGAGGGGATCTAAACTACTCAAGGGTAATCATTTTTAGCAGTGGCAAGAAATATGGTAACAAAATGTTTATTAGCACAATTAGTAACTAAAACAGTACAAGATTCTAATTAATGAATTTACAGAGACTTAATTAAAGGATAGAATTAGTAAATCAATTTGTCAAACATTTAACATTTAAAACTTGCTAAAATACAGAAATGATAATTAAACTTGCAAACTTGCACAAGAGGTACAGATTGCCACTAAGCAAAACTGAGTATCTAAGAACACCCACCTGTTCTTCCCTTTTTTGTTTTCGAAGTTGTATTCCTTCTTCTTCTCTCCGCCTTCGCATCTCTTGAGGATTTAAGGCTTTGTTCTTATAACTTTTCATTCTGTAATTATCCTTCCCTGGACTAGCCATTGAATCTTAGGAGAAGAAAACAGACAGTCATAACTCTCAACATAAGAGGCTTAGTATAGGCAACTAAATTTAAACTCGATAGATTACACTAGACCAAAAATACATTCTCTCATTCCTCTATCATATTGGAGAAAAAAATGACCAAATATTTCAGTATTTATTTCTTAGTCTTAGCACATTGCCTGATGCCTTAAAGACCACTTGAGACCCTAGCAACTTACTTTGAAAAAAAAAAAAAAAAAAAAAAAAAAGGTTTCTTTAGCTCACAGGTCTGGAGGCCAGGAAGATGCTAGCAGATGCCCCACTTGTGATGGAGACTCAGGCTAATTCATACACAGCAGAGAAGCAGAAAGGCAAAGCCAATGGGCGTTTGTAGAAGAGATAAAGTTGCTGACCCAAGGGGCTTCTATACTGGCAATAAAATTTGGACACAAAATTTGGAACAAATCACATCTAAGTCTAGCAATAATAAATGAGTAACAAATTTGGGTCTAAAAACACTCATCACCCTTATTTCACAGAGTCCAAGACTGAACAGCTTTACCCTTTGTGGCTTGTTAACATTTCTGGCCGACATACATCTTTCAATCACTGTCAGGAAACGAACTGTCTGGGTAAAAGAAACTTCTGAATTATACTGCTGGCAAAACCAGGAAACAGCCAGTATTATACAGCCCATTTTCAATAAAATATGGTGTTAGCACCAATAAGCACACTTAAAGTATTTGTTGGAGTCTGGCTTCTTTCAATTTAGACACTGTCGAGGTCATGAAGGTCATTATGTTATGTCTATATTATCATTTTCAGTTCTCTATTATAATTAGTTCTTTTGAAGCAATGAAATGTTTGTACATTTTATTTCTAAAGTTCTATTACAAATGTATTTCAAAATAGCAACACAAAGTCAAGGGTGGTGGCACATGCCTTTAACTCCAACACTTGGGAAACAGAGACAGTTGGATCTCTGTCAGTTCAAGGCCAACCTGATCTACATTGAGAGTTCTAGGCCACAGAGAGGTACACAGTGAGATCCTGTCTCAAAAAACATAAATACAAACATTTTTAAAGCATAAATATGAAGTGTTATGTTTGAAATATACATATTAGTTTCACATTCAGAAACTTACAACCTTTTAATAAAGCAGTATTATACTAATACATGATATGAATATTTGATGCTTATGTTATAACTTATTCCACAGGGTTTACACATGAAGACTAAACAGTAGTCTACCGCAGCATTTCAATTGTAAGTTTAATGTGACAGATACTTCATGATTACTTAATATACAATGTGGTAAGTTTGAAGAACATACCCAGGCCTTGCCAGAAACTAATATAATTAATTGCCAGGTGATGGTGGTGCACACCTTTAGTCCCAGCACTTGGGAGCAGAGGCAAATGGATCTCTGAGTTCGAGAACAGTCTCCTCTGCAGAGAGAGTTCCATGACAGCCAGAGATATACAGAGAAACCCTGCCTCGAAAAACAAAACAAAAATAAACAGAAAAGCCTTTCATCTGTCATCTCTGATATAAAATGCTAATTAGTTTGCAGATGTACAAGCAATAAAGTACACTAAAATATATGCAATATATGCATTAAATCCTGTGAGAGCACAATAAGATACAGCAGTTAACTGTCCCTTAGGAAGCTCAAAAAGGCTTCACCGTTAACTCTCTGTAGAAGGACAGAAAAGGAAAAAAAGAACAAGCATTTCAAACAGAAAGAATATATGAAGATATAATGACAAAAAATGTGAACAGTAAGAAATGAAGTGTGCCTCAACAAAGGACTCAAGGGGAAAGAGACAGGCAATGAAGTTATAAACATGAAACAAATATGAATGTCCAGCTAAGACATTCACACTGGATCCTACGGAGCACAACTAAAGAAACTAAGTGAAATCTCTATGAGCGTGCTGATGATGTTAATTGTAGTCACTGTAATTGCAATAGATGAATACTGACTTTAGGAGACTCTTTGGAGCTACAGATGGCTGAAAATGCTGGTCAAAGGGTCCTGACTCAATCATCCAATGTCATGGAGAGTCACAAAAAGAAAGGTGACCAGGAAAACTCTTCCTGGTATTCACATTTCAGTGAAAAAACAGCAAGAGGAAAGGAAACCATAAAGAAACAGGGCAGAGAAGAGAATAAGGGAAAATAAGGGAGTGGGATGAGTGCAAGAAACAGGAGCCAGATAAGTATTTGAGCTGTACTGACATTAATAACACACTCCTAAATACATTTTATTCTTCTATTGATTAATCAAGCAAACAAGCCATTACCAAACCAGACAGCCGATTTAGTAATCAGAAGTCACTGGTAAAGACAGTAAAACAAAGCTCACTACTAATGGAGTTCAAATTAGAACATAATGGCCTAAGGACTCAAGAATGAGGGGAAAGGTTTGTTTGTGGATTGGAGGCCTAGCTTACTGGTAAACTACGCGCTCAGAATATATAGCACATTTATAGCTAGTCAAAATCCAGTTTTAACATATCTAATGTGTTTCAGCAATTCATATAAACACCCATGTGGTGGTCTGAATGAGACTGGGCATCATAGGCGCCTATGTTTGAAAACATGGCCCCCAGTTGATAGAACTAATTGGGAAGGATTAGGAAGAAAGGTGTCACTAGGGGCAGGCTTTGAGATTTCAAAAGTCTTGGACTATTTCCAGTGTGTCTATTCCTGCCTTGTCGTTGTTTCGAGATGTGAGTTCTCAGTTACTGCTCCAGTGCCATGTGCCATGCTGTTGGCCTGCTGCCATGTCCCTATCATGATGGTCATGGACTCTATCCCCCCCAAAGTAGTGAGACTCAAATAAACTCTTCCTTCTAAAATTGCCTCGGTCATGGTATCTTATCACAGCAATAGAAAAATAACTAAGTCAACCTACAAACAATAACTAGGGATTGTTAAATGAAGGTTAATTAATTACACTGTATGCATTATTCTCTATTTTATACATTCTGAACATTAAACTGGAGAGGTGGCTCCGTGGTTAAGAGTGTATTGCTCTTACAGAGGACCACAGTTTGCTTACAACACCAGGCAGCTCACAAATCCCCATCACTTCAGCTCCACAGGAATCACTGCCTCCAGCACCTGCACTCACACACCCATGGATAAAGAATTTTAAATGATAAAAACAAATTTAAGATGAAAATGCATTTTTAAAAATCTCTCTAATTTCACTAACAGTTTAGGCTTAAGTAGAAAAACAAGAAAAAACTAATTTCTGAAATAACTCAATATTAGTTACTGAAATACTCTATTTGTAGAAATAAATCTTTTACAACTTTTCTCAACTAAATATGTAGCATTTTCTAGACTACTGGCATCTAAACATTTTTGAGCACATATTTTTATATATGTAGAATACATATACCCACCTTCAATATTTATTTATTTGTGTATGTCTATGCTCCTCTGTATCAACACCAGAGGTCAACATCAGGCTTCATTCCTCAGGAGTCATCCTGCCTGTCTCATTCCTAGCAATGGGGATCACAAAAGTGATCCATGGTTGCTCTATTTTTAAAGACAGGATCTCACTTTGTAGTTCTGGCTGGCTAGAACTTGCTCTACAGACCTGGTTGTCCTTGAACTCACAGAAATATGCCTAGCTCTGCCTCTCAAGAGCTGGGATAAAAGACATGCACCACCATGTCTGGCCCAAGTGCTGCATTTTACATGGGTGCTGAGGATTAAAGGTCCTCATACTTAGCCAGCTAGCTCCCCAGCCTTTTCAATATTTGTAGCAGGCTTTCTTGCACTGACCGTCCCCAAATCATGACTTATTATTTATGAATGCTCGACCTTAGTTTAGGCTTCTTTCTAGCTAGCTTTAAAAAAAAAAACAAAAAACTTACATTAGCCCACGTCTATTATCTATGTGCTGCCCTGCTTTCCTGCTTCCTCTGTGTCCAGCTCCTTTTTTTCTCTACTAGCTAGCCCCACCTATCCCTCCTCTGCCTAGCTGTGGCCATTCAGCTCTTTATTAGATCAATCAGGCGCCTTAAGCAGACAAGGTAGGTAAAACAGCAACACATCTTTACATAGCACAGCATAAACAAATACAACACACCTTTATATAGCTAAACAATTATTCTACAACACAAACAAATGCAACACATCTTTACATAGTTAAGCAAATATTCTATTCCACAATGAATATTTATCGCTACACATATATTACTATCGTATTTATTACTCCATTGTGAAAATGACAAAACTAGTCATTTTCCTCAAGGAATCAATTTAAAATGTAAAGGAACTGAAGTGCTAATCTTTACTTCTCACATTTGTTTGGATCACTTTGGGCCCTTTGCCACCAAACTTTTGCACTCCAGATGCTTCTTAGATTATCAACAAATTTGTAATCCAAATAAAATGTAGCTCCAAGAACACATATTACTTTATTTTTCTTCAATGATACTGTCTGCATCTTTGCCCTCTTCATTGTGTTATCTCATTCAAAGAAATTTACTTAGCTGGAAAACAAGTGTTTAAGGACTGAAATTAAAAGGCTGGAATTTCACACAAAAAAAAATATATGAAATATAAGAAATGCTATGCAGACATCTTAAATTTGCCAAACTGGGTTTTTCCATTCATAAACTTATTTTTATGCAGTTCTTATAAAAACCACATTGGTTGAAGTTGGGCGCATAATTGTAATTGAACTTTCAAGGGTCTTTGTTTTTCTGATATGTGTTAATGCAATTTCCCAAGTCAGTAAAGTTTAAAAATGACAGGGAGAGGAGTGCCAACTCTGAGCTCCTACGACCACACACACACACACACACACACACACACACACACACACCCACACACACACACACACACACACACACACACACCCACACACACACACACACACACACACACACACACCCACACACACACACACACACACACACACACACACCCACACACACACACACACACACACACACACACACACACACACGGCTTCGATGTGAAGCAAAGTTTCCT